TATAATATAACGTAATAGATCTAGTAGTAGACTTCTTTTTATAAGAGTCTAAGCTATTCTTATAGGCTGAAAGAACTTAATTATACTTATTAAATATAATCTCTAGATATTTCTTCTTAAGTATCTCTTCGAGAGATTTTAAAGTCTTTAATAAAGATATTAATAAAGCTATTAGCGAAGGGAAGATAAGAGGGATATAGTTTTTTTTTACTATAGTAAAACTATAATTATAATAAATTCTTTTCTTAGTCTTTTAAATTATCTATTCGATAATCGATTAATATAGCGAGGTTTATATATATACGTCTATTTTAGACTATAAAGGCTTATAAAAAGACTTATAGAAAGGCTTATAGAAAGATTTATAGAAAGACTTATATAAAGACTTATATAAAGACTTATATAAAGGCTTATAGAAAGGCTTATATATATTTATTTTAGATAATAGAAGATATCTAGCTTACGATATTAATAGACGACTCGCGAAAATCTCGAATATTATATTTTTAAACGAATTAGATTTATTCGAAGTCTTTAGAAAGTACTTTAAGGCCTTATTTTTTTATATTTAGAAATCGATTACTTAGATCTTTATTATTTAATATTTACTTTATATAAACCTTATCGAGTACGCTCTTCTTATTACTTTATTTATAAAGATTTTTCGAAGTAATATCGCGTTATTATTTAACCTCGCTATTATTATCTAGTCTCTTATAGCGATTCCGTAAATATAATATCTTAAGAAGAAACTTATTTAATATTAATTTAAGAATTAAAGATTATAGCTCGATTTAACTCGAGAGAAATTAAGTTAATTAGAACGCCTTATTCTACGATTTCTTCGCCACTTAAAAATATAATATTAAATAGTTTCCTGTTAGGGATTGTCAAGAAAGGCCTTTCTTCTAGTAAGGGCTTTCGCTAAGCAAGGCTTGGTAAAGAATTACTTACTTAGAAAGTAGTTTCTTTATCAATACAATCTATCAAGTCATTTCACATCAATTAGATCATTGCTCCTAGCAAATGATAGCAACACCGGAATCGTCTTGTCAACACCATTCCTTTGCTTGACAAGCACCATGTTGGAATTCAGCATCTCAGCCCTATTGTGCTTGGCAACAACTATAAGTAGCACACAAACTCCATAGAAAAACAACAAGCCGTCATCAATTTCATCAGGTTATGAGCCCGGTTTAACGAAACTCGTCACCACGACGGCTTCCTTCGTAAGGGATTACTAAAGGTATTCTTACGTCGTATCAATTCAAGCCACAGAGTAGAGGTCCCGGTCGACGTCCGCTGCGTTAACACAAGTTGCAAATCACTACCTCTACGGCTTCTCAGCGCAATTCCACACCTCACAGATCCTACGATACGATACCGACCACAGCACTGTTAAAGGCAGAAGATTGGGGGGCTTAAAGGGCCAGGATTTAGGGGAGGAAAGACGGAAGCGCACCAGACAAGGCAGTTAGGGGAGGACTCGACAGTTAAGAGAGATGTCAGATGCCAGTGCCAGAGCCAACGATGCCTGTGCCCGATGCCAGTGCCAGAAGCCCGTACATTTCGAAGCTTACGAATCAGTCACTCGATATACCCTACAACACGCCACAAAGTCCTCTACGAAGGTATTCGACAAGGCTCTAGGGGAGGACGGTTTAGAGACACGAAGGAACAGACACCCGCTCGAAGCCTACGAATCAGTCACTCGATATACCCTACAGCAGAGCACTCTTCCCGATTTCCCTACACGAGCGAGGTTTACGGGTTTAAGGAGGCTTCAAAGTAGGACACAGGCAATTAATTTATATGGAAAGCTACAGCTACAGTCCCAGGGGGAAGCAAATAGGCCTTCGCTGCAGGGGGAGTGTTGGAATTCAGCATCTCAGCCCTATTGTGCTTGGCAATAACTATAAGTAGCACACAAACTCCATAGAAAAACAACAAGCCGTCATCAATTTCATCACACCAAGAGATCCGGTAACCAAGCCTGTCATTTCCTGACAAGCACCACAATCCTTCGACAAAGTCTTCCGCTACGCTACAAGAACAGCTTCGGTACATACACTTCCGAAGCAGCTGCTTTCTTTCCTTACAAACCTTCCTTTCCTAAGAAATCCTCCGGTCGCCTACCCGACGACGTCGTCAGCCTACTTTATGCTGAAGTCGCCGAGCTTTCGCCACCTGCCAAGAAGTTCCTTCCAGATCGACGATCGCGCCACACCTTCCTTCTTGAGGACTAGTGCTGTCTCGCGTAACGTCCCATGAAAACTACACGCACAATGAGTTCTAAATGATGATTGGCTAGGGTACCACATAGGCCCAGCCGCTACGCAGACAGCGCCGCACGCAGACAGCGGTACCACTATGCAGCTCAGCCCTGAAAAAACTCCCTCTACGTAAAGTAGAAGACCTAGGAGTCTAAGTACAAGAAAACGCCAAAAAGAACATAGGCGCGGGTGGGTTGGAAAAGTCCAAAAACCTCTTTCTTGCGGCGAGAAGCGCAAGAATAGGGGCTACGTAAAAATTACCATTCTACTTCTTCTAGCATTAAACATGTACCATAAGCTACTAGTTCTTTAATAGCTACCCTTATCAGGCTTTGGCTACTTATAGATAGTAACTATTTTTCCCTTCTTGCCTCAAATGAGCTGCTCGCAATAGTAGTCTACCGGACCGTTAACTACATTGCCTATGATATGGGGCCTATGGAGGATAAAAACGGTTCCGAGAAAGATACAATAACAGTCGTCTTGGCCCAAGAGAGCAGACACCGCTTCAAATCTGAAGCAAAACGATTAATACCTGAATATCGAGTCATTATGATGTCCACTATTCTTGGCAGTTCTTAGTAGATAGCTGATGCAGGCTGTTAGAATATCCCTAGGTAGGTTTGTGATGATGTAGAATAGACGGATTGATTCTCCAAAACCTAAGCGAAAATAGGTGCGAAATACAGTTACAAAATCGGTGGCCTGGAAAACATGGTGAGCTGGGAAATGCGCGGAAAAAGAGGGTTATTTCGAAAATAGGCGTCTGCAGAAGGGGCCCTAAATGAGATTGGCTTCTTTCCTAAGGCCCAGCCGCCGCAGAATTAGCCTTGGCAAGCAGATGGCGCGCTATACGTATAGACAGGCTACGCTCGCAGACAGCGTGTACACTATGAAGCTCAGCCCTAGGAAAACTCCCTCTACAGTTGAAGGTAGAAGGCCTGGAGTTGCTAAGTTCAAGAAAACGCTTTTTTAAAAAAACATAGGCGCGGGTAGGGCTGGGAAAAGTCCAAAAAACCTCTTTTTGTGACGAGAAGAACTTTGATAGCCCCTAATGAAGAGCAAGAAACGGGGGGACGCCGCCTATTTAAGGCTCTTCCAACATGGCAATCTCGGCTATCCTGCCATAAGTGTGTGCTGTGCCTCTCCCTCACTAGCCCCAGTCAAGCTGTGGCGACTATTCCAGCCCTATTTCAGCCCTATTGCAGCCATGCGGCCATGAGGCTACTCAGCCATTTCCAGCCATATCAGCCATATGGAATTGTCCAGCATACCAGCTATTTGAGGCTATTGCAGTCACATAGATATCATGCAGCTATTCACCCATTGAAGCCATGTCAGCCATTGGAGCCATTCCAGCCATTTGCAGCCGTACGGCCATGCGACCATGCAACTACCATTTGGATACACACTTCAGCCATTCCACCTACAACTATTCACCTCAGCTATCGCAGCTACATTGATATTTCAGTCACTTCAGCTAGTTAGGCTATTGCAGCCATGTGGATGTTTTCAATCATTGCAGCTATTTCAGCTATTTCGGCTATCGCAGCCATGTCGCTATTTCAGCTATTTCAGCTATTTCAGCTATTTGAGCTATTGCAGCCATGTGGCTATTTCAGCTATTTGGGCTATTGCAGCCATGTCAGCTATTTGAGCTATTGCAGCCATGTGGATGTTTTCAATCATTGCAGCTATTTCAGCTATTTCAACTATTTCGGCTATCGCAGCCATGTGGCTATTTCAGCTATTTCAGCTATTTCAGCTATTTGAGCTATTGCAGCCTTGGAGATGTCTCAGCTATTCCAGCTATTTGGGCTATCCCAGTCATTTCAGCTATTTGGGCTATCGCAGCCACGGAGATGTCTCAGCTATTCCAGCTATTTGGGCTACCGCAGCCTTGGAGATGTCTCAGCTATTCCAGCTATTTGGGCTATCCCAGTCATTTCAGCTATTTGAACTACCGCAGTCATATCCAGCTACTTCAGCTATCGCAGCCACGGGGATGTTTCAGTCATTCCAGCTATTCGGGCTATCGCAACCATGGAGATGTCCCAGCCATTTCAGCTGTCCGGGCTACCGCAACCATAGAGATGTCCCAGCCATTTCAGCTATTTGGAATATCGCAGACATGGGGATGTCCCAGTTATTTCAGCCATTTGGGCTATCGCAGCCATGGAGATGTCTCAGCTTTTCCAGCCGTTTGGGCTATCGCAGCCATGGAGATGTCTCAGTTACTTCAGCTATTTGGGCTACCGCAGCCACAAGGGTATCTCAGCTATCGCAGCCATGGAGATGTCTCAGGATTTCAGCTAATCGGGCTACCGCAGCCATGGAGAGGTCTCAACGATTCCAGCTAATTGGGCTACCGCAGCGATGGAGATGTCTCAGTTATTTCAGCTGGTTAAGCTATCGCAGCCAGGGGGAATTTCAGCTAGTCCAGCTAATTGGGCTACCGCAGCCATGGAGATGTCTCAGTTACTTCAGCTAATTGGGCTACCGCAGCCATGGAGATGTCTCAGTTACTTCAGCTATTTTGGCTACCGCAACCTTGGAGATGTCCCAGCCATTTCAGCTATTCGGGCTATCGCAACCATGGAGATGTCCCAGCTATCTCAGCTACTTGACCTATCGCAGACATGGGGATGTCCCAGTTAATTCAGCTACTTGGGCTACTGCAGCCATGGAGATGTCTCAGTTACTTCAGCTAATTGGGCTACCGCAGCCATGGAGATGTCTCAGTTACTTCAGCTATTTGGGCTACCGCAGCCTTGGAGATGTCTCAGTGATTTCAGCTATTTGGGCTATCGCAGCCATGGAGATATCCCAGCCAATTCAGCTATTCGGGCTATCGCAACCACGGAGATGTCCCAGCTATTTCAGCTATTTGGACTATCGCAGACATGGGGATGTCCCAGTTATTTCAGCTACTTGGGCTACCGCAGCCATGGGGATATTTCAGCTATCCCAGCTATTTGGGCTACCGCAGCCATGAAGATGTCTCAGCTATTCCAGCCATTTGGGCTATCGCAGCCACAGGAATATCTCAGCTATCGCAGCCATGGAGATGTTTCAGCTATTCCAGCCATTTGGGCTATCGCAGCCACAGGGATATCTCAGCTATTGGGCTATCGCAGCCATGGGATGTCTCAGTTATTTCAGACATTTGGGCTACCGCAGCCATGGGGATATCTCAGTCGAACTACCACTGCCATATTCCATCTAACTGGGCTACCGCAGCCATTGGGATATCCCAGCCATTCCAGCTAATTGGGCTATCGCAGCTATGGGACGTCCTTGTCACTCCGACTATTTGGGCTACCGCAGCCAGGGAGATGTTTCATCTATTCCAGCCATTTGGGCTGTTGCATCGGGCGATGACGCATACGCGTCAAAGCCTTACATCAGGTGTGAAGCCCCACCGAGGGCCATGATTCAGGCCAGTCCTTCCGCAGAGGGGCTGCAACTTGGTGTTGAGGGCCATTATTCAGGCCAGTCCTTCCGCAGAGGGGCTGCATCTTGGTATTGAGGGTCATTATTGAGGGTTATTATTCAGGCCAGTCCTTCCGCAGAGGGGCTACAACTAGGTGTTAAGGGCCACTTTTCAGGCCAGTCCTTCCGCAGAGGGGCTCCAATATCAGCACGTGACGCCGGCGATTCCTACCGCCTTTTCGTCACTCACCCAGCCTACCTATCATTCACTACGGCACCAGCACCTTCCAGCCCGTCCGCGCACCTACTGCTTGCTGCAGTAGGTACCGTCAGGAGTCCTCCTCGAGACCTTCGCCCTCTTTGGACGACGTCTTGGGTTGTTTTGGGAGTTTTTCTAGCGCTGGGGGGCCTTTTTTTTTGGACTATTTGCATGTCCAGAAAGGTCTCAGCTGCCCCAGTGTTGGATATGCCCAATCATCTATCTACATATCTACTTGTGCATGCGTTGTTTTCTGTATGGCCTCACTGTTTGCGAGCACTAACGAAAGGATATTTCGGCTAATTCAGCCATGCGGCCATGAAGCTATTCAGCCATTCCAGCTATTTGAGGCCACTGCAGTCACATGGATACTTCAGCCCTATTTCAGCCCTATTGCAGCCATGCGGCCATGGGGCTACTCAGCCATTTCCAGCCATATGGAATTGTCCAGCATACCAACTATTTGAGGCTATTGCAGTCACATAGATATCATGCAGCTATTCACCCATTGAAGCCATGTCAGCCATTGGAGCCATTCCAGCCATTGCAGCCGTACGGCCATGCGACCATGCAACTACCATTTGGATACACACTTCAGCCATTCCACCTATAACTATTCACCTCAGCTATCGCAGCTATTTTGAAATTTCAGTCATTTCAGCTACTGAAGCCACACGGCTATAAGGATAGTCAGCTATTGTAGCTATATAGGTATGTAGCCATTTCAGCTAAATTGGCTATCTCAGGCATCGCAGCTATTTGAGTATTTCAGTTATTTCAGCCATTTCAGCTATTTGGGCTATCGCAGCCATGTGGATATTTCAGTTATTTCCGCTGTTTAGGCTACCGCAGCCATGGGGATATTTCAACTATCCCAGCTATTTAGGCTACAGCAGCCATGGGGATATCTCAGTCCAACTACCACAGCCATATTCCAGGCTACCGCAGTCATTGGGATATCCCAGCCATTCCAGCCATTTGGGCTATTGCATCGGGCGATGACGCATGCGCGTCAAAGCCTTACATCAGGTGGGAAGCCCCACCTGATGCGCCGCTATTCCAGCTGGGAAGGCCGTCACCAGCAACCTCCGCGAGGTGCTGACGTCACTTGGTGTTGAGGGCTAATATTCAGGCCAGTCCTTCCGCAGAGGGGGCGTCCTCGAGGCCTTCGCCCTCTTTGGACGACGTCTTGGGTTGTTTTGGGAGTTTTTCTAGCGCTGGGGGGCCTTTTTCGGGGTTATTTGCATGTCCAGATGTCCAGAAAGGTCTTAGCTGCCCCAGTGTTGGATATGCCCAATCATATATCTACATATCTACTTGTGCATACGTTATTTCTGTATGGCCTCACTGTTTGCGAGCACTAAAACACTAATACATCCCCCCCTACTCAAAATCCTAAATCTGGTAGAAAAGACGGGGCTCTCAGTTAGGAGTCCTAAAGGCCTGAACAATAACGAAGACTCTATAGACGATGGTGATCGCGAAAGCGATGAGAGCTTCGTCTCGTTAAGCGAGACGGCTAGCTAAACGACTAGTTAAATTATGAATTGCAAATTAAATAAGAATGCTTGGCAAAGCTGATTCAGCTCCGCCTCCGACTTTTTGTTAGCGCCATTCATAGAAAATTGTAGAGAACGTACTTGCCACTCTTGTACCAGCCCACTCCGACTTACCAGCATGCTTATGCTCTGGAACGATTAGGTTAGGGAGAAGGTCATAAGAGAAGGTGGAGGATTTTGATTGATATTACGTAGTATTTCATTGTAACTACTCTATTATCTCCATAGTCAAATACTCCAAATCTCGTTCAAATACCTCAATTTCGCCGTCAAATATGTAGCCTGCAGTGCTCTGCTTGAAATACTCCACCGCAAATCTATCACAGCCACTAACATCGATTGCATGCTTCAGAAACGGCTTCAGGTCGCCAGTGGGATTCGAGCAAGAGTTGGGCACGCTGGCGTACAGAGGGATTCTTTCTGAATGGTGGCATCGCGTCCGGAGCAAGGGCTGGCGATGTGGCTATTACACGCCTAAGTCAGAGGCAAAACACCAGGAAAAGCGTGTATACCCACTAGCTTCGGTATCACGAATGTCCAACTGAGGTAGCAGACGACAGTGGCTATTGCAAGAGTGGCAAGTACGTTCTCTACAATTTTCTATGAATGACGCTAACAAAAAGTCGGAGGCGGAGCTGAATCAGCTTTGCCAATTATGAGTTGCAAAACCAACGAGATTACTTAGCAAAATTAATTACGCGCCATCTCTATTTTTTTGATAGCCAGCCCCACCAAAATTTATAAAGATCGTACTTCTCAACAATTGCACCAGTCTCTACCTCTCAGTTCATCTTACTTCCTAATCGGATAATTTTGAGACACAGGCTAGTAAGTATACACTCTTTTTTTTAATATTTTTAACTAACCTAGATGTCTATAGCTACCCTCCCTCCCTCCCTCCCTCCGCTAATACGCGATATTATCTAAAGAAATACACATTCGCCAGCGAGCCAGACTACTCCTTAAGTCGTATTGGCGACCTAATATAATAGCTAAAGACGCCCATTCGAGTCGCGCAACGGGGTACCGGTGGGAGCGCAATATTGAGATCTACGGCGACACAGTGATTCCTCGTAATCTTCAAGCTGCAAACGATGTGGCGGTCCATAGCATATGCTCCTATTGGTGACCCAGCTCGATACCGTGGTGATATCAGAAGAGGTGATACATATAGCATTCTTCCGGCCTACACCACTGAAGGCTCCCCTGTACCGAGATCAAGAAGGGCTATTACTTCAAAGAAGATCTCCTCGTCTAGTTGATAGACCAATTGCTACCGCTGTGTAACGAGTACCCCGCCGAGCGTAGTATTATCGTCCTAGATAACGTCAGCGTTCACGTCGATCCTCGTATTGTTGAAGCTATCCACGCCAATATAGATTGGGGGTGGTGGTTGATGATTGCAGTGATTTGAGTAGGTTCTCATTAAATTTTGGTGGGGCTGGCTACCAAAAAAATAGAGATGGCGCGCAATCAATTTTGCCAAGCAATCTCGTTGGTTTTGCAACTCATAAAAGCATTCTTATTTAATTTGCAATTCATAAAAGAGCGGATTTCAAAGTCGCTTAATCTGACACCGGTCGCAACAGTGGGACTGTGGGTTAGTGGGTCCATTATGAGGCCATAGCGTTGGTGGCTGTTTGATCAGCCGTTCGTGTTGGTACCCTTGTTGGTACCCCTGTTGGTACCCCGGCAAGGGGTTGGGGACAGGTGTCCAGTACGAGCTATATAGCCACCTGTTTTGCACCTGTCAACGGCTCTTCATTCGATTTCGTCTCTGTCAGAGCCATATCATTTTTCTTCTTCTTTTCGTAGTTGAGTCTATACACATTAGCCCTCAACTACCACAAGCACACTCCATACTCTTACATACTTCATAATGGCTCCCGCTGCTGCTACCAGGTCCAAAAAAGCGGCCACACGAGTCACACCCGCCTCCAAGGTCACCAAAAAGACCTCCAACGCCGCCAACAAGGCCCCTAAGGCCCCCAAGGCCAAAAAGGCCACTAAGGCCAAAACACCTCCCCCTCCGCGACGAGATCGTCGTACCCGGAACGCCATCGAGGACCATTACTCCGGACGAGATCGACGAAACGCCCCCGCCTACTGGGGGGCCCAAGGTAGACCTTGCGGAATTGATAGCCCAGCTATCCAAGGTCCAAGAGGAGCGAAATCACCGCCATCGTCACGAGGGCCGGGTTCATAAGTCACGCCGCCACCACCACCGCCACAGCCGCAGCCATCGTCATCGTCACTCGGACACATCGGATTCGGACTCGTCCGACTCTGAGTCGGACTGGGAGGAAAGAAGAGGGATCCCATTTCGTCACTCGGAAGGTAAGAAGCCCTTTCTTAGTATTGCTGAAAGGTTCCGAAGTGTGGACGTCAAGTACTTCAAGCAAATCTTCTTCGGGACCTTCAAGACCAAAAACTTCGCCAAGCTGGCCCACATGCACACTACCCCGGCCAAAGAGGATAAGGACGTCAATGGCCATAACCACATGATGCACTGCTTCCTTGTGTACTCGGTAGCCGTCGGCCGCTTTGCCCACATGAGCGTGAAGGAAGACTTGAATGAGGCCCTTCATGCGTATGCTATTCGCCTACTACGGCTGCCCCTCACCTACAAATTTGACTCCATCCTCGCTTACCACCTCGCCTTTGTCACTGCACGCATTCAGGGTGGCCAAGACGATCCCAAGGCCTGGGAAGCGGACGATCAGAGCTGCAGGGACCTTCTCGTGCCCAGAGGGACTTATGCGGGCAATAGCAAGCCAAATGCCGGTGCGCCTGGCCCCAATAAGCCCGTTGCAGCCGGAGGACCTGCAATTTGCAGGAGTTTCAACAGAGGTAGCTGTTTTCGCGAGCGCTGCCCCTACTCACATGTCTGTTCGATCTGTCAGCAAAATCACTCGTCAGATAAGTGCCCCAAAGCCCATAACTCAGCGGTGAGTACCTCCAATCAATTGCCACTGGGTAATCGTGTTACCAGGCCAGAATGACTCCCAGGGCACCCGCAGGTGCCATGGTCGCTGCAGTGCATATCTGAGGGGTTCCCGTACGCGCTGTACGACCCACTGGACCCGGATTTGCCCTACCAAGGACCGTTAATAGTTGATGGTTGGTCCAAATGGTTGAACGATCACCCGGACCTGATATTTGCCAAGACCATTTCGGCTATTCTTCGGAAGGGCGCTAAGATAGGTTTTCGAGGCCCTATCCCAGCCCATCGCAATCAAAATCACCTATCAGCACGTCAAGCACCCCAAATACTATCGGCGGACCTCCAAAAACAGCTCCAGCAGCATCGCCTGACCGAGGTTGACCCTCAAAACGAGCCCCATTACGTCTGTTCGCCACTCGGATTGGTACCGAAACACGATGGAGGTTGGAGACGGATTCATGACCTCTCATTCCCACACGGCCACTCAGTTAATGACGGTATTCAGGCGGAGTGGGGCGCATTGGAATATACTACATACGATGACGCAGTAGTAGCACTGCTGCAGAAAGGCCCAAGGGCCCAATTCGTCAAAAGAGACCTCAAAGACGCCTTCAGACACATACCCGTCGCTATATCGGATCAATGGCTACTTGGTTTCAACTGCGATGGACGCTATTGGAAAGAACGATACCTACCGTTCGGACTACGCATGTCACCGTTCCTATTCGATCTCTTCGCAAAGGCCCTTACTTGGATCTTGATCGCCATCCTTCTATGGGAAGTAGTGCTCCACTACTTGGACGATTTCTTCGCAATCCTTTCACCAAGTGATGACGCAGCTGCATACGCGCAGCAGTTCGACCAGCTGTGTGGCGAATTGGGCCTTCGGATTAATCACACGAAGGATGTGGTGGGTTTCATAGCCGAGTTCCTGGGAATCGAATTCGATAGCATTCGCATGCAGGCGAGACTCCCCCCGGACAAGCTGGCCAAAGCGAGAACCACGGTCAAAAACCTCCTAAAAAGGGCAACTATCTCACATCAGGAGCTCGAGTCAGCGGTCGGCTTCCTCTCTTTCGCTGCCAAAGTCGTGATTCCAGGAAGAGCATTCTTGAGGCGACTTTTTGATGCCCTTCGAAGGCCTGCGGTGATCGTACGGATCACAGGCGACATGAGGGCAGACTTACTATGGTGGGACACCTTCCTGAAGCACTGGAATGGCGTCGCCTTGATACGCCACGTCGACAGTCGAGTCACGTGGCACATATGGACCGATGCGTCTGGAAAATTCGGTATGGGAGGTTACATTCTCGACCATCCCGACCACATCCAATCGGTTCAACTTAAAGACGTTTTCAGCATCAAAACAGCCACACGTCACCGTTCCAAAGACATACAATTCAAAGAAATGAAGGCCATCCATCACGCGATGGAACTGTGGCTACATCAGTTACGAGGATCTCGCTTGGTTCTCTACTGCGACAACGACGCATGCGTCAATGGATTACGCAAATCCTCTATGCACGGGCCAGCCATGGCCCCATTGCGCGATATAGCTATGCTGGCAGCTACTCATGACATCATAGTGGTGCCCACTTGGATATCTACGAAGGCTAACCAGCTGGCCGATGATCTGTCACGTTTTCGGTACCGAAAAATCGCTGACGCATATCCACAGCTGAAAGGTCTCATGTCTCCGCTGAAATAGGGCGGGACCCACCAGAATATTGGTACAATCAGACCGCACTACCCCGAGAGGCCGCACGACTTCTCTGGTGGGGGCTTGCTACCAAAACCAGGAAGACATATGCGACTCCAGTAAGATCCTACACGACCTATTGCGCACTTACAGGGATCCAACCTCCCTTCCCAGCAACTATGAATGCCCTCACGGGCTGGATTGCTGACCTGAGCACTCGCCGCGTCAAGTCGAAGTCTATGAAGGCATACCTTACCGGCCTCAGGTCAGCCCATGTGGACATGGGGTTCGATGATCTCTCAGTATTTCATCACCCTCAGTTACAACGCATCATTGCAGGTAGTCGACGTCTTCGTGGCGAAGCTGACACGAAGGAAAGGCGTCCAATCACCAAGGACCTATTGCTTCAAATCCTTCCTCATTTCGATAAGTCAACCCATGCCGGGGCGACTCTGTATGCCTCCTTTTGCCTCGCCTTCGCGGCATTCCTACGCGTAGGTGAGTTTACTTACAGCAAGCGAGACCTTCAACAGGAGGACTTCGGCGAATGGTTCCTCACACGTCGCTCGGTGAGGCTATTCGATGATCACCTGGAACTTACGCTTCCAGCATCCAAAACGGACCCATTTCGCCGTGGGATTACACTCACGGTGGCCGCATCAGGCGATGACGCATGCGCAGTCAAAGCCTTACGTCACCTCTTCAGGTGGGAGGCCCCACCTGATGCGCCGCTGTTCCAGCTGAGGGGCTCCTCCTTCACTAGGAACGCCGTCACCAGCAACCTCCGCGAGGTGCTGACGTCACTTGGTGTTGAGGGCCATTATTCAGGCCATTCCTTCCGCAGGGGGCTGCAACATCAGCACGTGACGCCGGCCTTAGCAATGACGAGATCCAATTGCTAGGCCGTTGGAAGTCAGATTCCTACCGCCTGTACATCGTCACTCATCCAGCCCACATACTCAGAGCATCACTACGGCACCAGCACCTTCCAGCCCGTCCGCGCTAGTGCTGTCGGTCCCTACTGCTTGCTGCGGTAGGTACCGTCAGGAGTCCTCCTCGAGACCTTCACCCTCTTGGACGACGTCTTGGGTTTGGGAGTTTTTCTAGCGCTGGGGGGCCTTTTTCGGGCTATCTGCTCAGTCCAGATGTCCAAAAAGCTCTTAGCTGCCCCAGTGTTGGATATGCCCAAACACATATCTACATATCTACTTGTGCATGCGTCGTTTCTGTATGGCCTCACTGTTTGCGAGCACTAATCGCAACAGTGGGACTGTGGGTTAGTGGGTCCATTATGAGGCCATAGCGTTGGTGGCTGTTTGATCAGCCGTTCGTGTTGGTACCCTTGTTGGTACCCCTGTTGGTACCCCGGCAAGGGGTTGGGGACAGGTGTCCAGTACGAGCTATATAGCCACCTGTTTTGCACCTGTCAACGGCTCTTCATTCGATTTCGTCTCTGTCAGAGCCATATCATTTTTCTCCCACCCACCCACACCTGTATATAGCCTCATTTCACTCCAGGGCATGTCGCTCAGACATGGGAGTTTTTCTAGCGCTGGGGGGCCTTTTTCGGGCTATCTGCTCAGTCCAGATGTCCAAAAAGCTCTTAGCTGCCCCAGTGTTGGATATGCCCAAACACATATCTACATATCTACTTGTGCATGCGTCGTTTCTGTATGGCCTCACTGTTTGCGAGCACTAACCGCGAGACAGGGAAACTCGGCTCCGAGTTAGAACTTATCGTTGCCAGCGGCCATGAATTAGAGAAACGCGTATCTGATAACGAATTAAACCCGGTATCTCTATTTGTTGTCTTCTACTCTATATACATCTGCAAATCTGAAAAGTTCCTGCAAAATTTGAAATTGCTGATGGGGGGGTTTTGTTGTAAAAAAAAAAATCCCCGGGTTTGAAAATTTTTTTAAAATTTTCCCCATTTCTTCCCAATTATAAATTTTGGTTTTTTTTTTTCACGCGGTCCGCGGGTTTTGGAATTTTTTTTTTTTGTTGGAATGCTATCCGCCGGTTTAGCAATCACTATATACTGTTCGAATGACATCCGCCGGTTCAGCAATCACTATATACTGTTCGAATAACATCCGCCAGTTCAGCAATCACTACATGCTGTTCGGATTTTTTTTTTGGTTATTGTATTAGTTTTTTTTTTTTTTTTTTTTTTTTTTTTTTTTTTTTTTTTTTTTTTTTTTTTTGTGGGGGGGGGGTGGGGTGTTTTTTTTGTTTGTGGGGGGGGTGGGGGCCGGTTTTTTTTTTTTTTTTGGTGTTTTTTGGTGTTTTTTTTTTTTTTTTTTTTTTTTTTTTTTTTTTTTTTTCTTTTTTTTTTGTGGGGTGGGTCCCAGGTTTTTTTATTTTTCTTTCCCCCCCCCCCTGCCGCAGGGGGGCCGGCGGCCTTCCCCCCCCCCCCCCCCCCCCCCCCCCGTAAATTTGTCTTTGTTTTTTTTTTGGGGGTTTTTTTTTTTTTTTTTTTTTTTTTTCCCCCTTCCTTGCTTTTTTTTTCTTTTTTTTTTTTTTTTTTTTTTTTTTTTTTTTTTTTTTTTTTTTTTTTTTTTTGTGGGGGGGTTTTTTTTTTTTTAAAATGGAACCGGCTTCCTCAAGTGTGGAGTTTTGGTTTTTTGACAATTATGTGCATGGGGGTATGGCGAGTGGTGGTATATATGGATCTCCCCCACAACATCTTGCGTTGGGGCTTTCTTCTGGTTCATCGTGTTTTTGGGATGACGTGCCTCGGTTCTGGTTCATCGTGTTTTTGGGATGACGTGCCTCGGTTCTGGTGTTGTCGTATAGACTGTCAATGACTCTCGCCGTCTTATGCCCCCTACAACAGCTTGCGTTGGGGCTTTCTTCTGGTTCATCGTGTTTTTGGGATGACGTGCCTCGGTTCTGGTGTTGTCGTATAGACTGTCAACGACTCGGGGGAACTTTGGATGATAGCCCCCGTTGTGGGCGATGGCGTTCTTTAAGTTGCAAGAAGTCGCGAATTGGTCCAACAGCAGTCTTCGGCGCCGGAATACTTGGCCAGATGCTTTCCAAAGCGTGTTGACGTCTCCCTGACCAGGGAAGAGCCCGCCCTCTCTTCTCTTTCTGATCACGGTGTCCACGCACGTGTTCTGTAATTGTGGGACCTCTCTTCGCTCGGCGAACTCGTAGATGGCGATAAGGTCCGACCATGTCAAATCTTTGTTGGTCTCTGCTTCTGAGATGATCCTCCCAGAGTAAAGCCAATCCTTGAATCTCCGAAAGACATGTACGTCTTCCTCAAGAAGGAACACTACCTGAGCGGAGACGCCATCTTCCATTGTCGCATCGACGGTGAGCTGCTCCCGGAAAAACCTCGAAGCCCGACGTAAAAGCCCTCGATGTATCCCGACTTTCTGTGCCAATCCGCCAACCTTGACTGTGACGATGGCATCATAGATGGAGCTATAACCTCATTGGTTTTGGGTTTAATGATCAATTGGGGAAGGACTCACTCCACTGCTGTGCCTGTTGGTCTAAGCATCTCCTGTTCCATCATCGAAGCTGTCTCAGTCTTGATGCGTTTCTTGCGTGGTTCCGAATTCTCGGAATCTGTGGCAGCCATTGTCTTCCTCTTCTGGCCCTTCGGTTTTGGGTGGCTTGGTTCTATACCACCTCCCGACATTGTGGTTTGTCGGCTTAGAGGAGGCGCGGGTGGTGGCATGTTCGTACGGAAAGCTAAACATCAAATGAGTTGAGGTACGCGGCAGATAGACGAGAGTGGCTAACCTTCAGGGAGGGATCCAGATCTGATGTCCAACTGGCGTGACCGATTTGGGTACAGTTGTACCCGGGGTGTGTGTATATATATGTATGTATAGTGAGGATTCACCGTCGAGTGCAAAGATGGCAAGTAGACAAGTCCGAAAGGAGAAGTGATAAGATGAGGTGAAGGGGTTTTGATGTTTCGTACATGTATAGTGATGCTCTGATGTTTTGATACTCAATTCGAAGCAGGCTCAGTGACAAATACCGTGAGGCCTCAGAAGTCGAGCAACAAAAGCAGACCTAGTTGTCGGAAGTCTCGACTCAATATCTCAAAGACGATGCGCTAGGTGCGTAAGTGATGATGGTACAACTTTCATTAACAGAAGTTTGACGCTTGAGGTCGATTAGGAGAATGGTGATGATGTGAACGAAGTCGTTGCATGTCAAAGTGACCTGAGTGGTAGAAGCATGATGTAAAAGGTGCGTGGCTTCACCTGGGTCTTATTCGTGACCGGCTTTAGGTTGGAAGCCCGTGTTGAGGTCAGGTGAGGGGTGTTCTGGGCTTTGGGGTCACAAATGGATTAATGACGGACTTCAGGCCCGAAACCCGTGTTGCTTTTAGGTGAGTGGTGTTATGGGTTTCGTCATCTTCCTCGACTGCGGTAGTCGCAACTGGATTCGTGACGGGCTTTTGGCTGGTAATCTGTGTTGAGCTTAGGTGAGGGGGTTCTGCCCCCTCTGTTTGGAGGTCGAACGGGAGCTTGTCTGTCACGATAGATTCTTGAGTGAGCATTGATGATCCGGAATTGACCATTGTTGAGGGTGCCTTGGAGAAAACAGATCGTGTGAGGCCGTCGCCGATCAATTTCTCACCCATTTTCTGATTGGCGTCGGCTGCTCTGAATGACATTCGATCGAAAGTCTCATTGATTGCCGGATTGGGTTCGACGGCTTTGACGGGGATGAGGACTTTAGAATGTGCAGCACCACCGAGGGTCGAAGGTCCACCGGATCGGTGACGTACGTTTGCCGGAGCCCATATGGACTCGCTCAAAGGACGGGTTTCCACGCTGTTCACGTAGGCGGCGAAAGCCTCGGCAACGTCTTCGTTATGAGTGTTGGCGGCTCCTAGACGTGGGCTTGATGCTACTGTTTTAGGCGTATTGTAAGAAGCTCTCAGGCCGCTAACGTGCGGGCTTTGCTTGGGGTGGACCTCTGGTGATGTTAAGGAAGGGGAGCGATCCTCGCCAGCGCCGGTAACATTAGGAGGGGTCTTTGCACCTTCAGACTTTTTGTACTCATCGATGCCCTTACTACCGTTGATCAGTGAGATGAAACGACCGATGAACTCGGGATCATCTAAAGGCATTTTGGAGTGAATGATTGGGAGTTCAAAAGATGTGATGTGCAGGTAGAAACCGGCCAGTATGAATGGTCATGGGCAAATTAGCATCTGTCTGCTCCCCCTGGACCTTGAGCTGGGTCTTCTTCGTGACGGACTTTTGGCTGGAAACCCTTGTGGGTGTCAACTAGAAGTCACGTGCTCCGAGATGGCCCCTCTCAAAGGGAAGTTTCGCCTCCCTGAAGATGGTCCGAAAGTTGTCCGAGTCGAGAAGGGTGTCCGGGTCGAGAAGGGTGTCCGGGTCGAGAAAGGTGTCCGAGTCGAGAAGGGTGACTGGGACCGATTTTGCCCGTTGCATATTTAGTCCCATTCCTGACATCCTAAGATCCAGATCCTCGACATCTCTATTGTCTTGTAGTGTAGCGTGTATTGATCTCCTTTGCTGCTCTGTAGCTCTTGTTTAGGAAGTCCGGATCGTAGATACTATTGTATTGATCAAAGTCGATAAAGCTGTTGATGTAATAAAATTCCTTGCCTTTCACCGACGCGGGCACGACATGTGCACTTCTCTCGATGCTTGCGAGGCTATAGAATCGTCGTTTTCCGAGGGTTCTTGGATTCCGCGCTGTTGATGGCTGCGCCCTTTCTACTTCCACCATGCCATGACATTCCTGAACTTGTCCATTGTGTCGATACTTAAATATCTCCATGAAAACACCCTGCAGGTGAGTCGGTCTTTGTCTGAAATCTCTGCGGGCTAGGTCCATCACTTCCACCACGACCAGTACTTCCCCCACCAGTTTCCCCGAAAGAACCCCGTCAGCATCGGAGGTCTGCTGGTCATATTCGTGGACCCAAGCGCAGTCCCTGCGCCACCTTTTTCGAAAGGGTTGACCGATGGGTCTGCAGACGACGACGTCTTTGGACAGGCGAGCTATGTCCAGAGAATCCTCCCCGAGAGCCTTCCAACATCGAACATTGGAATGGATGCGGACCGGATATCGACGTACCCATCCACAGTCCGCCTCACGTGTGTCGATGTTATTGTCTCCCTTGGATAGATGATGTTCCCTCGATTTCGTTCGATCTGTTCGAATAAAGGCGGCCAGAGCTTCGAGGAAAGTGTCCAACTCCAACCATTCAGCAACGGCCCCTGCTGGTCGCCAATAACGACTATCACAATGATAGATCTGCCTCATGATATCACGCTCCTCGTCGTCCGCCTGCCAACCCCAGGCATGAAGATCTAAAGGAGTTCCCGCCTCGGTCTTCTTCTCTTCCTCCTGTGATCTCTCAATTGCAGGTGGCAACACTTTTGTATCTTGGTACTTGACGAGATCACGCATCGTGATCATCTTCTGATGTGCGACATCGTGACGCATGATCTGTTCAATATAGTTATCATGCTTATTCGTTAGTCCGTAATACTTTTTGAAGAATTCAACATGCGCCTTTTCCCCCGTTTGAGTGGTCAATCCATCGGGTGGGCCGAATGATTGTATCATTTCGGGCAAGTGACTGATGCTATGAAACTTTGGGAAGTTAAAGTGACCTTTACCCGTCGTTTTGTCCAGAGGTCTGTATGCTCGAAAAACCTCTTTCAGCAGGTCAATCCGGGCCAGGGCCGCGAGTAGATATCGGATAGTATCATCATCATGAGAACGATATCTCGCCAGTATAACAAGGTCAAGGATAGCGCGACCTGCATGCAGCGCATCCGGATTCAACTCAACCAAGATCGGTGCAAAGGTGGCCATCATCGTCCTCTGTAGGGTCCGGCCGTCCTCTCCTGTCCACTGTGTCTTCTTACTTAGAGACCCGATGCGTCTCAGGTTGGTGTGGCTAGGGATCGCCCGAAAGCGGGCATCGAGGAGCTTATTCGTCTCGTTCTCTGTCTTCGTAGCCCTGATACATTCAACCCACCATTCAAGCAGATAGCCTATGTGTTGGAACGACTCAACACTCGCTACCACTAGTACTCATTCGGTCTAGTCATGGGTATATGAAGGCATTCTCTGTACATAGATATCCTTCTTCCTTAGACATCATTAAGACTATCATATCTAGTAATAAGTCTCATTATAGCAGTAACTGCATACCCAGGTATTACCAACACTGATCAGTGTACTTCAATACTAGTACACAGATTAGCAAGGCCATACTCTTAAAGAAAGTCCGCCTCGATATCGCCGCGATAGCTTCACACGGTTCTATGTTACTCAATCGATTCCGCTCATTGTGACGATTCGATTGAATAGAACTACAATTTCTACAATTCCTACAACTCCTACCCAGCAGAGAAAACACCCGGAAAACACCAAACACCACCAAGCTTCACACCACATTAACACATAACACACACCCAAAATGGACTCCAAGGACAAGAAACCTGACTCTTCAGAGACACCGCCTGACACTATGACTCTACATCAACTAAAGGACATGCTAAACAAGGGAGTCGAACCAACAGATACCGATGAGAGAATCGAACAATTTGTCCGTTGGAGAATACAAGACTACAATGAAAACAAATGGGAGTCCCTCTCCGACATCTTTGCTGAGGAATTTCGACTATTCGCTAAGGAGGACTTTGAGGCCCTTTCCAAAGAACAGCAATATGGCTTACGAAACTGCCTACGAGCCAATGGAGTCTATGTTAAGAAAGGACGAGGGGTTTTAATGTCCGAATCATTGGCCAATATAGTCCAAGAAGACATCCCATGGCCACTGAACGACGAGGATCGTCCTCCACCAAAGCAGCAACAATATTACCCCCCTCAGCAGCAAACAATTCAGCCGCAGCAGCCTTATCGACCGGAGAACACTGTTCCTCTCCCCCCGCAACCGGCTTATCATCAGCCTTATCGACCGGAGAACACTGTTCCTCTCCCCCCGCAACAGCCTTATCAGCAGCCTTATCGACCGGAGAACACTGTTCCTCTCCCCCCGCAACCGCCTTATCGACCGGAGAATCCTGCTCCAATTCTCCCCCTAACACCAGCCTACGGCCCAAATTACCGAGCCCCACACCTACTACCCTCGCCTTACCAAGTCATTCAAGACTTCGGTACCAAATAAAACCATGGCTATAGTAAATAATTAATTTTCTTTTCTTTTTTTTTTTTTATTTGGGGGAGGGTGGTTGGGTTTAGTTGTTTGTTTTTTTTTTTTTTTTTTTTTTTTTTTTTTTTTTTTTGTTGGGGGGGGGGCCTCTCAACATATTTTTAATATATTATTTATTTTTTTTTTTTTTTTTTTTTTTTTTTTTTTTTTTTTTTTTTTTTTTTTTGTGTTTCTTCTTAATTTTTTATTTTTTTTTTTTTTTTTTTTTTTTTTTTTTGGGGAGGGGGGGGGGGTCCTTTTTTTTTTTTTTTTTTTGGATTTTTTTTTTTTTTTTTTTTTTTTTTTTTTTTCTTAAAAAAAAAAAGGTTTTTTTTTTTTTTTTTTTTTTTAATCATCCCCCCCAACAAAAGAGGGTTTTTTTTTTTTTTTTTTTTTTTTTTTTAATTTAGGTATTAAATATTTTTTTTTTTTTTGTAATATTTTTTTGTTTTTTTTTTTTATTCTAACAAAAAAAGATTAATTTTGTGGGTTTAATAAATAATATTTTTTTTTTATTAAAAAATAAAGAAGGGGCGTGGAGGGGGGAGAGATCCGAGCCACTTGGGCCTGCAACATACTTCACTAGACAGGTTTAGCAATGTGATTCAAAAGAATGATTCAAAACGAAAAGGGTAATAATCCAATAGGCTAACCATATAGAGTAGTTATTAGCCTCGTCGATCACCCACGAATGAATCACTGTTTTATATTATAAAACAGTGATTCAATTGCAAAGTTGCCCTATACGGCGTTAGCGTAACTGCTTATTTCGACATACAAAATTGAAATTGCGGAGACAGATAGCAGCAGCAGTGACACAACAGCTCTACTCTCCACGGTCTCACACCAATCCACTCAGTTATCCACTCAGTCAGCCATTTAGCCAGAGCACTCAGTTGAGCAAGAGGAGGAACCACTGCAGCAGGCAAATGCGGGAGAACATTGCGGAGACAGTCAGCAGCAGCAGTGACACAACAGGTCTACTCTCCACAGTCTCACATCAATCCACTCAGTTATCCACTCAGTCAGCCACTTAGCCAGAGCACTCAGTTGAGCAAGAGGAGGAACCACTGCAGCAGGCAAATGCGGAGAACATTGCGGAGACAGTCAGCAGCAGCGGTGACACAACAGACCTGCTCTCCACGATCTCACACCAATCCACTCAGTCAGCTACTCAGCCAGTCACTCAGTCTGATATTCTGCAAGAGGAGGAATAATGCACTACGGAGAGAATTGCAGCAGCAGTGACACAACAGACCTGCTCTCCACGATCTCACATCAGCCCGATACTCAGTAAGAGGAGGAACCACTGCAGCAGGCAAATGCGGAGAACATTGCGGAGACAGTCAGCAGCAGCAGTGACACAACAGGTCTACTCTCCACAGTCTCACATCAATCCACTCAGTTATCCACTCAGTCAGCCATTTAGCCAGAGCACTCAGTTGAGCAAGAGGAGGAACCACTGCAGCAGGCAAATGCGGAGAACATTGCGGAGACAGTCAGCAGCAGCAGTGACACAACAGACCTGCTCTCCACGATCTCACACCAATCCACTCAGTCAGCTACTCAGCCAGTCACTCAGCCAATCACTCAACAAGAGGAGGAGCAATGCAGTACGGAGAATTTTGCGGAGATAGTCAGCAGCAGCAGTGACACAACAGGTCTACTCTCCACAGTCTCATATCAATCCACTCAGTTATTCACTCAGTCAGCCACTTAGCCAAAGCACTCAGTTAAGCAAGAGGAGGAACTACAACAGACAAATGCGGAGAACACTGCGGAGATACCAAGCGACAACAAGGCCACCATCATCAAGAACACGGCTCAGCTCTCCACAATCCCACGACATATGCTCTCCACGATCCCACGTCAAATCACCACTCAGCAGGCGGAGAACGACACTACAATTTGGCCTGCTATATCCGCGTGCCTAGGCAATATCATATTGTAGTACATCACTGCAATAAGCACACAAGAGAAGGATCTACTACGTCGATCACAGCCAATTAAACCTCTGCAGGCAGGGGTCATCTATCGGACGATGCATATTTGGACGAATTGAAACCGTCCGATATCTTGTTTCGACAGCCATTTCATTAATCGAAAGCTTTCATTCCAGCAGGAGATTTCGTGGGATACACACCACTAATTAGCCCGGTGTCTCCATTTCTTTCCGGCATTCGAAAAACTATGCATGCATACTTCTTGCCATGAGGACATGGCATTTCTCTATTTTTTGTGGGCAATTATTATGAGATGCCTGCGGGCACATAGATTAATCAACATCTTTTACATCACACGCATATATAAGTCAAATCACAATGACTCCTTAACATCGGTCTGCTCGTACTTCACTGGGGGGATATATCTATAACGTGATGTAGTGGCGATCACAGCCTAATAGCCTAGCAATATGACTGTAAAGGTCGTCGCAACGAGGGCCCCATCATTGGAGGAGTTCATGAGGTATATATGTGGTGAAAGAAGAAGAATAAGTGAAATTCAAAGAGATTTGTGACTCTTCGGCAAAGGTTTCGCCGAAATCCGTGATATTGCCTAATCGGGTTAGCGGTAGAAGGGTAGGGCTGTTCCCGCTTTGAATCATTCTTTTGAAATTCGTTGCTAAACCTGTCTACGGGTTTTTTTTTTTTTTTTCCCCCTCCAAAAGGGGCCCCCCCCGGCCCCCCCCCCCCCCCCCAAACCTTTTTTAAAAAAGGGGGTTTTTTTTTGGGGGGGGGGGGGGGGGTGGTCAAAAAAACCTACCGAAAAAGAACGCCAGGGGTCTCGAAACAAGTTCGCTAAGCGGTTTACCGGCTCCATTGACAAGCGATATGACTCCTACATTCAAGAGTGAGAGGGGGAGGGGAGGAGAGGAAGGTTTTTTTTTTTTTTTTTTTTTTTTTTATATAAAAATTTTGGGGGGGGGGGAAAAAATTTTTTTTACCCCTTTCTCAGTCATATCGGACCCAGCCCCAGCACGTTTTTTGGAGCTTTCCAGCCATTCCACATACCACAATATCACCAAGTCCAGCAGCTTTCTTAGCACCAGCCGATACACCTCAAAGCAGTTCCATGGTATCATGCTAGATACCGAAGCCCGCCTTTTTTCTTTTGGTTGAACCGTTAAACCAAAAGCCTATATGAGGGAACTTCGATACACAACTGGATGTCAGTGCTGGTAGCATCACCGCCCAATTTGGGATTGGGACGGAAAAAATTAATTTTAATTTTTTTTTTTTTTTTTTTTTGTTTTTTTGCTTTTTTTTTTTCTGCTTCCCCCCCCTCCTCTTTTTTTTTTTTTTTTTTTTTATTTTTTTTTTTTTTTTTATTATTTTAACCCCAAATTTTTTTTTTTTTTTTTTTTTTTTTTTTTTTTTTTTTTTCCTTTTCCCCCCCCTCCTTTTTTTTTTTTTTTTTTTTTTTTTTTTTATTTTCTTTCCACCCACTTACTTTTTTTTTTTTTTTTTTTTTTTTTTTTTTTTTTCTTTTATTTTTTTTTTTTTTTTTATATTTGGAAACTTGGTTACTCCGCCCCCCCCCCCCCTTTACATTTTTTAAACTATTTTCTTTTTCCTTTTTTTTTTTCAACTCCCCTCCCCCCCCGGTTTTTTTTTTTTTTTTTTACAGGGGGGGAATAATTTTTTTTTTATCCCCCTATTTTTTTTTTCCTCCTCCTTTTTTTGGGGGGGCCCCTTTTTTAAATTTTTTGGGGGGGGAACTTCATTTCAGGCCGCCCGATGGCTAACGAATATGACTGCCTCCCACACATGGGACATGCTCAGACTATGCTGGATAGACGTATATGTCGGACCTCCAGATGTCATTGTCCATGACGCTGGGACTAACTTTGACAGTACCGAGTTTAGGCAAAACGCCAGAACTCTGAGCATTCAAACGAAATGCGTACCAGTTGAGGCCGCTAATTCTATCGGCCTAGTGGAACGATATCACACTCCATTGAGACGAGCCTATTTGATAATCACTGCGGAACTGGAGAACCAAGGCATTGGAAAGGAGATCCGCCTACAAATGGCTGTCAAGGCTGTCAACGATACAGCCGGATACAATGGCCTCGTTCCCACATTGCTGGTTTTTGGAACCTTCCCCCGTATCACAAACGACGATGCACCCACTTTGTCTACTACCGAGAGGGCAAAAGCTATCAACATAGCAATGACCGAAGTTGCAAAACTCCACGCTAAGAGACAGGTCAATGACGCCCTACATCAGCGAAACGGCCCCCAGACGATGAGAATGCACGATACTCCAATTGGTTCCCCGGTACTGGTCTGGAGAACGCATCAAAAGAAGTGGACCGGACCATACAAATTGCTAACCACTTCTCGAGAGACATGCACCGTCGAATTACCAAATGGTCCTACTGATTTTCGAGTCACTATCGTCAAGCCATATTTGGAAGAAACAGACACCCCAATCGAGTCTCCCGAGTCCCCCGAACAAGAATCTCCACAGTCAGACGATACTCAACACGAAAATAACGATAATTAAGACCATCAAGATTCTTCTCAGGACGCTCTACTACGTTATAACCCTCCTTAACGTCGATATATTTCCGCCTATTTTCGAAACTCTATTAATATCACGATCTACATATCTAAGTCCATGCCACAGCCACCTTCACCGAACTTCCAGGCATCCCGGCAAAAAGAACTCAGTGGACTACTTGAAAAGGGTGTATTTGAGATCATGAAGACCGAAGATGTCCCCGCAGGAGCACGGATATTTAGTAGTCGTTTTATAGACCAAATCAAGAATAAGGGTATCGAGAAAGCCTTCGAGAAGTCGCGACTAGTAGTACAAGCATTTAATAACTCGGAGAAGCATGGGATCCTCACCCAGGCCCCTACCATTCAACGGGCCAGTCAACGGCTTATTATCGCCCTGGCGTTAGCTATCCCACAGCTATCTCTATAACTACGCGACATTACTCAGGCATACACGCAATCTTAATTCGAGTTAACTAGAGATATCTTTATTTTTACCCTAGCTGAAATAGGACTATTCTCAAGAACGATACTCCGTGTCATTCTCCCCCTCTATGGAATTGCTGAGTCCGGTACCCACTGGTTCCAGACATATCATAAGCACCATGTGGAGAAGCTGGGAATGACCCCATCTACATTCGACACTTGCCTACTGTTCAACAACGATATGACAGCAATTATCGGCCTGCAAACTGATGACTCTCTCATTGCTGGTACCACTGAGTTCATGGACCTAGAGTCACGAGAGCTGCATGCCGCTGGACTATTGGCTAGACCATGTGAGAAACTTACTCCGGAACAACCCCTGGAATTCAATGGATTTGTCATCACTCTCGGGGATAACATAAAAATTAGCCAACACAAACAGGCAAAGAAGATCCAATTGCTCCCAAAGTCATTCACAAAAGAGCAATACGTCGCCCAGAGAGCCCGGGGAGCGTACGTTGTAACGGTATCGCAGCCACAAGCTGCATTTGCCTTATCATACGCCGCTCAGATCACGGACCTTACCCACGACGACGCTCAGTACCTAAACCGCTGTCTTTCATGGTAAATGGAAGGAAGAGGCCTCACATTCGTCAAATTAGATATAACGTCTCTAAGAATTATGGCTTTTACGGATTCGTCATTCACCAACAATAAAGACCTCTCTTCCCAAATCGGCTATATAATAGCCCTAGCTAACGCTTAAAATAAGGCTAATATCATTTATTAGCAATCGATTAAATGCCGCCGAGTCACTAAAAGCGTATTAGCCTCCGAACTTTACGTATTATCCCTGGGATTCGACGTTGCAGCCACCATAAAATCTACTTTGGATTAAATCTTCTCTGGTACTCCCCAGGGGAAGATACCTCTTTCTATGTGTATAGACTCGAAATCTCTATACGAATATCTTGTCAAGCTAGGGATAACACAAGAGAAAAGACTAATGATAGACATTCTATATCTAAAACAGTCGTATAAACGACGGAAAATCACCGAGATCCTATAAATTAGAGGAGATAAGAATTCAGCTGATTCAATAACAAAGGATAAGGGATGTGACGCACTACAACGTCTAGTGGATACGAATCACCTGGAACTGGATCTAGAAGGCTGGGTGGAAAGACAAGACACTGATATTGACCAATAGGAAGCCGTCTTAGCGCAGTGCTACTAGAAATACGCCTAGCATAACCGGATCTACGCCCACTGCAGCAGAGGGAGTAATTGCGGTTATGGGGGTTACGGAGAAGGAATGTAACATATGAATAGCCTCATTTTCTATTTTTTGCCAGTGTTGGAACGACTCAACACTCGCTACCACTAGTACCCATTCGGTCTAGTCATGGGTATATGAAGGCATTCTCTGTACATAGATATCCTTCTTCCTTAGACATCATTAAGAATACCATATCTAGTGATAAGTCTCATTATAGCAGTAACTGCATACCCAGGTATTACCAACACTATGAGTCCCTTGACCATCAAGGAGTGCAGGATGTCGAAGCATTGCAGCCGGTATATGTCGACAGCGAAGTGGCCGTCGGTAAAAGGACGGCGGTCGTGGAGTACCATATCCCGCCAAGTGTTTCGGCGTCTTTTTGGTATACCTCTTTTGCAGTCTCAGCTGCTCGGCCGTGCGCTCGGGTGTTCGCTTAGGATATGGGGTTGGGGGGCATAATCGCTCCCTCTCTGTGGGTGGGACCGTGCATGTAGGACAGTGTCTGCCGCTCAAGATTGAAGTAACCATCGCCTGTTCCTCGTAGTCCAGTGTCATAGCAGCCAGTATTGGATGACACCTTCGAGTCAGGCCGTCCGCGCATTGTATGTTGACACCATGTTCGGAGTGTTCTTTGATTGCTGAATACACTTCGTCAGCAGATAGCATGCCGCGAGAGCACGAGAAGTTACCTTCGGTCATCAAACCCAAGGCGTAGTGGTAGACCTGGGCCTTGGCTTCTTTTTCCGCAACAATCGGTATCATTCCCAGAATCGCCATACCCGGTCTACTATGCGCGCGTCGCGCGTCTCGTTGAAGGTTCCCAATCGTGATGTAGACCGGCCAAGCATGTTGGTCCCCGTGCATCCGGGAGAGATGAGTTTTGTCCGATGCCAAAATGATGGGAACGACGGTAGAGCCATCAGGTAGCTTGTCCTGCGTTTCCCACCACCAATCCGCGGTATGCATCTCGCTGTAGACTCTCGCTCCATTAGCGTTCCTTTGGCGTACAGGTCGATAATATAGGCTCGTGCTGAAAGGTTCGTGTGCTAGAAACGCTTTGATGATGCTTACAATGTCGAAGTAAATGACGTGGTATGTCTTCGACCCCAATTCGGGTCCGGAGTTGTGAATTTCAAAAGACTGGCTGGTCCAGCCGCCGTCGATGCCACCGCCACGCATGTTCTGCATCTTACACCTCAATGATTTCGCGCCGTCAAAGCTACAGCCGTCTCGGAATCGCTGCAAATGGACGTCGCGAAAGAACTTATCAATGTCACCGTCGGAGAGTCCCGACTCAAGGAACCACAGCGCCAGCGCATAATCTTCCCGGGATTCAAATGGATTCCAAAAATTGTCCGTGTCGGACATCGACCCGACGTCCGACCCAGTCCGGTAATTGGACATCGATTCCATTTGACTAAGAGGCTTCGATCCGGATTGTAGTTCCACCGGCCTCCCAGCGCCCCGCTCTCCCGGATACGGTTCTACAGAGTCAACTGTCAAAGACGAAATTGTAGTACTGCAACTTGAGCCTATTGCAGAGGTGGGGGTTGCTGTTGTCTCATCATCCAGGTTCATTGTTTGCACCGCGTTTGTCCCCTCTTCCCCTATCTCCTGCTCGTCCAATTGCTGCCATGGTATCGAATCCGCAGTCGTATCACCTTCGGGTGGATGTGTGTCTCCTTCTCTTACGGTGATCAGAGCTGTCAGATTGTTGATGCTGCCAACTATGTCGCGGTCCGTGGTATCGAAAGACGCGTGTGGAAGGATCGGTTTTCGCTTTCTGCAACCTCGTAGGTGTCTGGTGAGTCCACTGCCATTTTTGCATTGTTTTTTGCAGAAGCGACACACTCGATGCATATTCTCTCATCTGTTATTGATCAATCGCAAGATACGCGTTCTTCAGCAACCGGCAACGTGTTAACGCCTTGGCGAACGCACACTACTACTCTAGCCTTGCTTATCGCGAAGCCCAATTTCAACTTCATGTTCTTCATGGTCATACAAAAGATGTCCATGAATCCATGTATAAAAAACATCTTGCATTAATGGGCATTTGTAAAAAGGAAGGGTCTACAACGAGCTGTCCAGGGGAGGGATGCTTTCATTGCTTTTGAACGTTCCTCCGTATTTAATGCGTACATGGTTAAAGCGCTTTCATATGTGTAAAACTGCGTTTATATATTCACTCCAAAACAGTAAAGCCGCCTGCAGAGCATATGATTTAGGGGCATACATTTTGCATAAAAGAAACCAATTTTGCTTTGATTTAAACCGTTTGATTTAGATAGCAGTGCCTCTGAAAATGGTCTCAAGTGTTGCAAAAGAAATACACTGGGTCTATTCATCGTTACCCACAATGCGTGGCCATTTTGTTGTGTTCAGCTAGCTAATATATCTTCACATTGGGACGAAAGCCTTTCAGGCACAAACGACCGGAGCCGAACGAACCATCAAGAGCCGCACATGTCCGGAGAGAAGACGATCTGATTGATCGATTTTTGCAGGTACAAAGAAGAAAGAAGGTTGGTGTATCTGCTGAAAAAGGAACTCGACTGTCTGCTGATCGGCCGAAGAGTGGACGAAAATTGTGCAGGCACAGCATCCATTAGCCGCTATGCCTTGCTATCACCTCTCGTGCCGAAGAGTCAAAACGAGCATCAGTTTCCGAAATACTGATTACCGAAGTAATCATTGCCGCTCAAACCCTGCCGAAGGTTGTTGGTCCCGAAATTGCCAGCAGAGAACAGATCTCAGGAAATCCATGCCATCGTCAAATAAATTTGCATCCCCAGCAGATGCAGCAGCGAAATTCGCACTCCCATTATCGACATACGCGTTGCTGATTTCAACGCTGGCCGAAGCTCCTGCCGAAGTTCCTGCTGGTGATTGGTTGAAGTTAGTCGAAGATGCGGTGTGCTGGTGTTTAGTTGAGGCTATCGAGGTAGCCATTGGCAAAGTCAGCGCCGGCCGAAGTCTGCTTGTGATTGGTTGAAGTTAGTCGAAGATGCGGTGTGTATTCCGGGAAAGTTGCCTGAAGCTGATAGGGGACCGACGGACGAATTCACTCGAGCGGCGAAGAGTGAATCACTAACGCCGGATGTCCGACTCGAACCCTATGGCCTCATTTGAATTTCTTTCACCTCACATCTCACTTGATCTAACGCGCGTTTTCTTACCACCGCATTGTACATACCATCATGTCGATACCCATGCTTTCTCCAAACGATATGCTTGCAATAGCAGCGCCTACCGAAACCGATTTCTACCTCAAAATCGGCGTCGCCAAGTTAGGCGTCCCCGCGAACCGAGATAACATCCGCAAAGGACTCCGATTTTCAGAGCCCATGTTCAAAGCGGTGGAAGAGGAGTTCTCGCGCCGACTAAGACATGAAGGCCTTTGGGGAAAGCCCATAGGACCGCATAAGGGAAAGGTTGATACCATCGTGAGCGAGACTATCCAGTCGCTGCCCATTCCCAATCATGTAGCCGCGCAAGACCCCAGCTTCCTCCTCAAATCCTTGCATAAATTGATCTCATTGATCAACGAGGCGCCTACGAAGCAAGAGAAGCGATCACTCAAGAGGGAATCGACGGAAACGCAGGAAGACGGACATGCGAAGACCCAGAAGCTCTCAACGACCGAGAGATTGGCAAACCCCTACCAATCCAGCAGACCATCGACCGAAAACCCCCCTAGCATTGACTCCCTCCAACTCATCATCACCGACAACCTGAACGAGTGCAAGCTCGTCTCTGTTCAGAAGTTGATGGATGATCCAACAGTAACCTCTCGGTTCTGGGAGCAACTCAGCCTCAAAGCTCTCATCACCCATCTTCGGTCGAAACGGTTCTGGGGCGATACCGACGAAAATCCTATGGCACCATCCCGTCTAACCTACAGAGTGGACAATGCGAGCTCGGCCGTGGATGACGATGATGACTTACAAGAGGCGTGCAAGTATTGGGAGCGAGTACGTGCATCCGAGTGGCGGATGTTCTTGCAGCGCGCAATCAAAGGTTCATTAATCTCGCTTCCCCACGTTGACGATGAGCACTGACATTAATTCTAGCTTCGATCGAGACGTCAGACATCGGAGCCAGTGTCTTCGGAACTTCGCGAGACTTGTCGGTACGCTCACGTCCCCAATCTCAACGGCCCCCTGGGACACTCGAGCGTCCAGCCTTTCCTCCTATTGAGCGGAAGCAAGTCTCGAAGTTCCCAACCTCTCCCAGACTTGCTGATGCCCCGCCTCAACCCAAACCTGCTGAAACTCCGCTTTCTCCCCATTCTGCTATCGCTCCGCCTCCGATCTCACCACCCAACCCACTTAATACCCACGAAGGGAATGAGACAGATTCCCGACTCATCAGCATCAGCTCGGACGAGGGTGACCCTCGGCCACAAGTCCGTCGCCGTTCCCCACAAAAGAAGTCCGTCAATGATCCAACAGGCAACGCCGCCGTGCTTGAAACTTACAAGAGCAATGACGCGCTCCCGCCATGGGAGGGGAGGCGTCTGACAGTAGGAGATACTATACCAGTGGAGCTCTCAATCAAGCAAGATCACGCCCTTCGATCAGCTGACTCTTACGACATTGAGATCGGTGAGATTATGAGTCAAAGAAAGGTGCAGGATGATATGGAGGCCGGCGATGGAGACCTGGCATTAGAGTATGTATTCGAGTACTATCAGTCATCTGTTCTTCATGCTAATTGATGTGATAGAAAGGCAAAGCTCGGTGAGGAAGGGAGGTCTCAGTGGTCCGAGATAACTCGGCAAATCATGGAGCAAGTCTTGCAGCTCAACCGTGATGACACAAGCACCGACAATACCCGAACATCAAGTGAGCCTAACAGCTACCTACTACTGCTCATAAACGCGTTGGAAGGCCCTCAAAAAGAGCCCGAACGGATACGTCCTCCCCTACATACTCCTCCCAAGCCAGCGGTAGATGGGTTAAACTAACATTCAAATATTGTAGTCACACCAAACGCGTCCGGACGTCATATGCTCTCCACGATTCCACATCAAATCATCACTCAGCAAGCGGAGAACACCACTGTAACTTGGCCTGTCATCCCCACTGCCTTGAGGAGTAAGAGGAGGAACTACAACAGGCAAATGCGGAGAACACTGCGGAGAAACCAAGCGGCAACAAGGCCACCATCGTCAAGAACACGGCTCAGCTCTCCAAGATCCCACGTCATATGCTCTCCACGGTTCCACATCAAATCATCACTCAGCAAGCGGAGAACACCACTGCAACTTGGCCGTTCCACATCAAATCATCACTCAGCAAGCGGAGAACACCACTGCAACTTGGCCTCTTATCCCCACTACATTGAGGAGCAAGAGGAGGAACTACAACAGGCAAATGCGGAGAACACTGCGGAGAAATCAAGCGGCAACAAGGCCACCATCGTCAAGAACACGGCTCAGCTCTCCAAGATCCCACGTCATATCAGTCATCCACTCAGTCAGCCACTCAGCTAGCCACTCAGTCTAATACTCTACAAGAGGTGGAGCAAGAGGAGGAACTACAACAGGCAAATGCGGAGAACACTGCGGAGAAACCAAGCGGCAACAAGGCCACCATCGTCAAGAACACGGCTCAGCTCTCCAAGATCCCACGTCATATGCTCTCCACGGTTCCACATCAAATCATCACTCAGCAAGCGGAGAACATCACTGCAACTTAGCCTATCATCCCCACTGCATTAAAAAGTAAGAGGAGGAACTACAACAGGCAAATGCGGAGAACACTGCGGAGAAACCAAGCGGCAACAAGGCCACCATCGTCAAGAACACGGCTCAGCTCTCCAAGATCCCACCTCATATGCTCTCCACGGTTTCACATTAAATTATCACTCCGGAACGATGCATATTTGGACGAATTGAAATCGTCCGATGTCTTGCTCTAACAGCTATTTCATTATTCGAAAGATTTCACTGCGACAGGAGATAATGTGGGATTCACACCACTAATTGGCATGTTGTCTCCATTTCTTTCCGGTGTTTCGATACTTCTTGCCATAAGGACATGGCCTTTCTCTGTTTTTTGTGGGCAATTATTACGCATCAATTCTCCACACTTGATACACCTTCCTAATTAGGCCTTAGCGCGCCTCTCTCCGTACATATGTGTCTGTATGTAGGTCAAAAACGCACAGCAAGCGATTAGAGTTCGATTTGACTTAGAAAAATCCAACTCCATGAATTTAATTCATGGGCCTTTACTTGTATAATAGAATAAAATAGAATTTAATTAAAAAATCTTAAATTTATATAAATAGTTAATTATAAATTTAAGATTATTACGTCTTTTAATTAAACTATCTAAGTTAGCTAATAGCTTACTAGCTCTTTTAAGACTTCTTATTAAAAAAATAGATATACGTTATTTACAATTAAATTAACCTTTTTATTTTCTATTAAAGTTTTAGAATTTTTTCTTTAAATTATAAAACCTAGTTTACGCTTTCTAAAGTTTAAAAAATTAAAAAATTTAATCTTATAAATATTTAAAGATAAGAATTTAAATATCGTCTATTAAAAGTTCGCTTATTGAATTCGCTCGATAGTTCGAATAGCTCTAATTAAAAAATAATAGATATATATTATTAATATATAGAATAACTTTTTCGTTTTTTATTGAATTTTTAAGATTTTTTTTTAATTATAGAGCGAAATTAGGGCTTTCGAATAAAAAAAGATTACTTAAATTTACTCTTATAATTATTAAAGCGTAAGAAATTCAAATATTACTTATTAAAAATTTATTTACTCTATTAAGAATATCTTTTCATATAGGCTTAGATAGTCGAGTAGTAATAATTTCAATAAAATTCGAAACTATACCGCTCCCTTCTCGGTTCGAATCCATAAATCTCCCTTGCTAAAAAATCGTAGAATTGTAAAAATCGTAAAATTCGTAAAATAAATAAGAATTCTATAAATTATAAAAAGAAAAAAAAAGAAAAAGAATAAGTATAAACTATATTAGATATTAAAATTAACTTCTTATTAATTAAATTTTAATTAATTTAGAGTAAATTAACTCTCTATAAATCTATTATTAATATATCTTCTTTTTTTTCTATTAAAATCTTTTAATTTCTTCTTAAATTATAGAATAAAATTTACGCTTTTAAATAAATCAAAAACTTTAAAATTCGATTATATAGTTCTAAGTAAATCTTAAATTAAAATATTCTCACTCTTCGAAAGTCGAATTCAATCTCGAAACTAAATTTAAGAATTAATTACTACTTATAAATTTAATATATAAATTTAAACTTATTAATATATAAAAACTTTATAAAATATTCGAAGTCTTTATATTTAATAAAGGTATATTATTTATCTTCGACGTCTAAAATCTCTTATATAAGAACTTAAAAGTCGATATTAAGTTATTTAAAATATATTACTTCTAGATTAATAACTAGATCGAGCGTACTATTAAAGTTATAAAATATTATCTTTATATCTTTATTAATTATATATAAAATAATTAAATAAAGTAAACTTCGAGTATCGAGTTCGCTATAAATAATATTTTCCTCGCGATTACTCTAATTTTACTCTTTCTAATTAATTTTAAATAGAATTCTTTTTTAGCCTTTAAGCTTTTTAAACTATAATCTTTAAATTATATTACTTAAGTCTATATTAAGTTAATTATACTAATAAGTTTATTAAAAAGATAAAAGAGATTATTAATTACTTAAGTTATTTATAAATTCTTTATTAATAAAGAACGTCGCTCTTATACTCGATATCTTATAGAAGATATAATATAACTTAATACTAAGAATCTAAATATCGCTCGCTTTATTATAAAATTCGATAATCGTTAAACCTAATGCTGTCATGGGCCTTGACGCTACTTGCGTCAAGGCTCCGACATCGTATGTGTTACGTTAGGGTCCCTTTTAGGGTCTAGTTTCAATGACGTACCTCGTATGTCTAGGGGCTTGGGGACATAGGTCTACTTCGCATACCTCGGAGTTTTAGTATTTCTTAGAGATTAGTTCTACTATTAAATATACTATTAAACCTCATAACGACTCTACGTCTTTTATAGTCTATATTCGCTAGCTAATCGCTAGTAAACTACGCTCTCATAATAATCGTAACTTAAAACTATTTTTAATTAAACGAGTTTTTATCAAATCTCTAATTATTAAACTTAGTTTTCTCGAGTCTATAATAATTTACTCTATCTTCTATATTAACCTCTTTTAATATATATTCTAAAACTCTTTATCTAATTAGATATTAGAATTTTAAAAACTTATTATAATCGAAAAAGAAGAACGAGTATAATTAGTATATATAATAGAATAAGATAGAGCTAAGCTTACGTTCTCGTCAAAAATTATTATCTCCCGAGGTTTACCCGGCCACTGCTGGCTTCCCACCAAAATACTACTATAGATACTTCTAAATAGTGACTAATGAAGTATAGTATACTCTCTTACACCTCTACACGCAGTTTATATCGTTATAAAGCTACTACGCGTAAGAAAGCCAAGTTCTTCGAAGCCGTCGATATCCGCGATAGTGGAAAAATAGTTAAAGATATATATTTAGATAAGAATATTTTATATAGTATAGGGAAGACTTAGCTACGAATTAGAAAGCTTAAGAGCTCTTTCGATACTAGAAGACTTAAAAAATAGCGTTCTAGACGTCTTTCTAAGGTTGATTAATCTATATATAATACTCTACGTAATATTAATAATTCTATACGCAATTAAAAGCTCGAGCGTTAGCTTTAATACTATAAAATTTTAATTAATTCTCGAACTATATATCGTAATACTTAGAAATATATTAATAATATCTATATATATAAATAACGTATAACTAAATAAATATCTAAAAAGAATATTAAGAAGTAATTAACGTACGGAAATAATTATAAGAGAGATATTATTAAGAGTTTTTAATACTATATTAATTAAACGAATAAGAAGTATTAGAATCTAGGATTTATAAAATCTAGCTATATATTTCGAGACGTAGATATTTCTATAGAGCCTGAAAATACGTAGTTAATACTCTCTCTTTAGAATTGTTAGAAGACAATGTAACTATATTATAATTTGATGTGTGATGTAAAAGATAATGATTATTCTATGGGCCTGCAGGGCAGATATGTGCGGTGCCAAGCCACGCTAGGCCCGATTGGGTGGTGGCTCTGAAGGAGGCCTTGGCGTACCGTGACAACATGCCCGCAAAGAATGAAAAAAAGACACGTCCTCGTGGCTGTATCTCTGGATAGCTGCATTAAGCATGCGCCGTCCATATATCCATGCACCTATCCTTGGCCTATAGCCTCCATATCCTTCGCATGACGAATATAACCGAGCGGAGAGGCGAGTTGAGAGGTGAGAAGAGAGGCGAGAGGGGTGGCGAAAACTGGTGTATTGCTGAGGCGAGGGGAAGGTTCTCCGGAAATACTCCTCTTTGCAAAACCATTTGCGGGAGCGCCCGTTTGGCAGCCACCCCACCAAATTTTCGCCGTGACCACCGCCAAATGTGCGTAAGAGGTATTTCGCATTACATAGACATAGAACCACATTCAAGTAGCCGTTGCAGTAGTCACTGTAGCTATTCAAGTAGATTACAAGTAATTACTATCCAAAAATCGGGCAGAACCTCTGTACAGAGTGGTGAAAAAAAATGGGCTGGGGCACACCAAAATGGAGCTCTATGATTACACTCCCTGCACATGGCGTATCAGACGGCTGGACTGTGCCAGAAACACGTCGTTAAACGACTTATTGACAGATCTTTGTGCGCGAGACTGATCCATAAGGATGTGGTGTAGTGGTGAGGTATGCCCCATGATGTAGCTTCACCGGACCACCTCTTGCCAGCCCATGCTGTCTGCAGTGCTCCCCGTAGTGCTCCCAGCAGTGCTCTGTCCAGTGGTCTCAGTAGTAGTGCTCTGTCCAGTGGTCCCAGCAGTGCTCTGTCCAGTGGTCCCAGTAGTAGTGCTCTGTCCAGTGGTCCCAGTAGCAGTGCTCTGTCCAGTGGTCCCAGTAGTGCTCTCAGTAGTGCTCTGTCCAGTGGTCCCAGTAGTAGTGCTCTGTCCAGTGGTCCCAGTAGTGCTCTCAGTAGTGCTCTGTCCAGTGGTCCCAGTAGTAGTGCTCTGTCCAGTGGTCCCAGTAGTGCTCTCAGTAGTGCTCTGTCCAGTGATCCCAGTAGTAGTGCTCTGTCCAGTGCTCTGTCCAGTGGTCCCAATAGTGCTCTGTCCAGTGATCCCAGTAGTAGTGCTCTATCCAGTGCTCTGTCCAGTGCTCTGTCCAGTGCTCTGTCCAGTGGTCCCAGTAAAGTAGGTAGGTAGGTAGGTAGGTAGGTAGGTAGCTACGCAGCAAGGTAGGTAGATAGGTAGCTGCGCAGCAGTGAAGGTAAGTAGGTAGGTAGGTAGGTAGGTAGGTAGCTGCGCAGCAGTGAAGGTAGGGAGGAGGAGGCAGGTAGGTGGGTGGGTAGGTGGTGGCAAGAGGTAGGTAGGTAGGCGGGCGGGTAGGCAGGTGGGTGGGTTGCCAGCAGTAGGTGGGTAGGTAGGTAGGTATGTAGGTAGGCAGGTATGTAGCTATGTAGTAAGGTAGGTAGATAGGTAGGTAGGTAGCTACGCAGCAAGGTAGGTAGGTAGGTAGCTGCGCAGCAGTGTAGGTAAGTAGGTAGGTAGGTAGGTAGGTAGGTAGGTAGGTAGGTAGCTGCGCAGCAGTGTAGGTAAGTAGGTAGGTAGGTAGGTAGGTAGGTAGGTAAGGCCCCAGTAGTCCAAACCGTCGTCCAAACGCCAGGACTAGTCCAAAATGAAGCTATAAGATGGTCCACAGTCCGTCCAAACGTTGGACCGTCCAAACGTGGACTATTGGTTTGGACTATCAGTCCTGACAGTCCAAGGCTTACAAAGCCTCCAAAGCATCAATTTCAGCGACGTTCTACAATGGTATGTAGATCTTCCTGTAAAGAGGCGAGGTGTGCGAGAGATCCTCTCAAATTCGTCGGATGCTGGCGAGCTTGATTCGGACGTCGAATCGTCCTCCTCTGACTCAGATCTTTCTGGAACATCGATAGGTATGTCAGCGAGTGCGGTATGATCGTTGGAGGGCCGGAAATGGGAGGAGGAGGTCGGTTCTTAGGTTTCTTTGGTTCGACAACTGACGGCGAGTATCTTTGTTTCGTGTGTTCTTCGCCGGCCTCTGAGAGCTGGCCGTGATTTCGCGATAGTGAATGGAGTCTTGAGTATGCTAGGAGCATCTGATAGCTCGGAGTCGCCATTGATGGGCGTCATTGTGGTGTCACCAGTGTGGTTGGTTGTTGAATACTGAAAAATTGAAGATTTCGCTTAGGTTTCTCCGCTTGCTACTAGAAATACGCCTATCATACTCAAATATTCGCAGGCAAATAATCAAAAACCACACCCAAAACTCAACCACCACATTACTAGGACTACTAGGACTACTAGTCTATATGATAGTCCAGAACTTTAGACGGTCCTAGGACCGTCCGAAAATTAGGACCGTCCGTCCAATCAGGTGTTGGACTAGTCTGGACTAATAGTTAATGGTTTGCCACCAAACATTGAGCCTGTAGGTAGGATGTAGGCAGGCAAGTAGGTAGGCAGGTAGGTAGGTAGGCAGGAGGCAGGAGGCAGGAGCTGCGAGCAGGTAGGAAGAGGCAGGAGGAGCAGAGGAGGCAGCAGGCAGGCAGGCAGGCAGGCAGGAGGCAGGCAGTGGAGGCTGGCAGCATGAGGCAAGCAGGCAGGCAGGCAGGAGGCAGGCAGGCAGGCAGGAAGGAGGAGAAGGCAGGAGGCACACGCACAAGCACCCACCCACCCACCCACCCACCCACCCACCCACCCACCCACCCACCCACCCACCCACCCACCCACCCACCCACCCACCCACCCACCCACCCACCCACCCACCCACCCACCCACCCACCCACCCACCCACCCACCCACCCACCCACCCACCCACCCACCACCTACCTGTGCGCGCCACCCACCCACCTACCTACCTACACTACTGCGCACCTACCTACCTACCTACTATGTCTAGTGCTCCCGGTACTACTTCCAGTAGTGCTCTGTCTAATTACTTTCAGTAGTGCGCTATCCAGTACTTCCAGTACTACTCTCCGTAGTGCTCTGTCAATTGCTCTCAGTACTAAAGTAGTACTGAGAGCACTGGATACGCACTGCACTACTGAGAGTACTGGACAGAGCACTACTGGGAGCACTACGGGGAGCACTACTGGGACCACTGGACAGAGCACTACTGGGAGCACTGGACAGAGCACTACTGGGAGTAGTACTGAGAGTGGTACTGGAAGCACTGAATGGAGCACTACTAGCAATATTGGGAAAGCATTGCGGTGGTATAGCGATAGCGATAGCGTGGCTGTGGAGGTCTAAAAAAAGCTACATCAAGTTCTTCGGCAATTGGACTATATACGGCTTCATATTTAGACGAATCTACAGCTAACCTACAGCTATCTACCACGAATTTGGCTTCTGCGTACATTTGGCGGTGGTCACGGCGAAAATTTGGTGGGGTGGCTGCCAAACGGGCGCTCCCGCAAATGGTTTTGCAAAGAGGAGTATGCATAGTGGCCTGGTGTGGAATTGTGGAGAGAGTGCCCTCTTGAATAGGACTGCTGCTGCTGGCGATGCTCTGTTTCTCCGCAATGTTCTCCGTATTTTCTCCACAGTTTTCTCCGCAATTTTCTCCATCTTTGCCTGTTGCAATGGCCTATGGCCTATGCTCTTGTTCCTGCTTTGGTGGCTGTGCCGGCTTTGGCGCTATGACTGATTGCTTTTGCCGTGGCGGTAGTGTGCCAAAGTGCTTGTCGAGTGCCTTCAAGCCTTGTCGAGCACGTCTTCTATAAGCTTGATAATGGAGCGGACTTACTCTGCTGAGAAGCCAGGAATAAGGCTGCTAAATGCCATGGTGATATCGAGTGGCCTAGTGAAAGGATCGACGTGGACGATATCGTGTAGGGACTCGTGGGACTATAAGTACTAATATAGGAGCGTACTTGGTGTTAAGGTAGGTGGGGTCCTAGGGGAGAAGTAGACAACTGATATGGGAGCGAAATAACTTAATAGACGCCTATTGAATAATCTTCAGATATTGCTATTATGTTATTAGAAGATAATATAACTATATCATAATTTGATATGTGGTGTAAAAGATAATAATTATTCTATAGACCTATAGGGTAGATATGTACGGTGTTAAGTTACGCTAGGCTCGATTAAGTAATAACTCTAAAGGAGATCTTAGCGTATCGTAGTAAGAATATTAAGATTTATATCTCGATAAATATCTTATAATATTATAAAAGGTAAGCTTTAATTCTATTATAATAAAAGCTTAATCGATCTCGAATTATAATTAAAAAACCTTTAAAAGCTATATCGACGTTTTAAAAATAAAAATAAAAAGAAATATAAAGAGCGTATTTATTAGTAAAAAGCGAGTATTTCTTATAATCTTAATATTTAGTTATCTAGAAATAATATAATAATAAAATACTATATTAAATATTAGCTTTCGAACTATTATAAGTCTATTAATTAATTATAAATTATATTTAAATATAGAATTCTATAGAAGAATAGTAATAAGAGTTATAAAATTATTTATAGTAAGAAGAATAAGGCTTTAGAAGTCGAAAATATCGCAATTTAGCTTAAATATAATAATTAAATTAAGACTCTAATATATTTCGCTTAATTATCGAATCTAAATTATATCGAGAGTATTTAAAATCTTCTTAATAAATATATATATTAAAGATATTAATATATATAATAAAAGCTTCGTACGATAATTTAAAAGAAGTAGAATTATATTACTCTCGAGGAAATTAAGACTAGAATTACGGAGATACTATAGTAATATATTAATATTAAATACTACGAGAGAATAACTCTTCTAAATTAATTAAGTCGGATTTATAATAGATTCTTTATAGAAATATATATAATAATCGTAGAAAGCTAGTAGTAGCCGGGTAAATCTCGAGAGATAATAACTTTTAACGGGGACTGTGGCTTAAAAACCTTGAATTTATATATGTAGCTAATTATAAATTCGGGTTAGCTACGCTCTTTAATTAGACCGGCTAAGTTATCGCGGATAAATAAATTAGCGTCCGCAATTATTAAACGTTCGTAACTATTAAAAAAATAGATGTACGTTATTAACATATAGAATAACTTTTTTATTTTCTATTAAAATTTTAAGATTTTTTTTAAATTATAGAACGAAATGTAGGCTTTTAGATAAAAAAGAATTCTTAAATTTAGTCTTATAATCATTAAAGCGCACGGAATTCAAATATCGTTTATCAGAGTTCGCTTACTAACGATCGCTCGATAGCCGAACAGCCCTGATTAAAAAATAGGTATACATTATTTGATTTTAGAATAACTTTTTTATTTTCTATTAAAATTTTGAGTTTTTTTTAAATAATAGAACGAAATATGAGCTTTTAGAGAAAAAAAGAATTCTAAAGTCTAATCTTATAATTCTTCAAAGGTAAGAAATTCAAATATCGCTTACTAAAGATCGCTCATCTATTTACTCGATAGCCCTAATTAAAAAAATGATTATGAATTTAATTTATAGGCCTTTACTCGTATATTAATAATTTTATTAATTTTAGATTCGATTATCGTTTTTAATTCTCTCTATTAAAATATAATATTAATTAAAATTCGATATCTTTATTTAAGAATTATTTACTTATCTTAATAACTATTAATTATTTATTAACGAAGATTATATTTTATATCTTATCGCTATTAATTCTTACGTTATTCTTTATATTTTTTTAAATTATTAATATAAATATTTTTAATCTTATCTTAATCTTTATTAAATTTATATTATAGAGTAATAATTATTACTCTTATTTCTTAAATTATTTCGCTATTTTAATCTAATTATTTAATTACTATTATAAATAGTTAAGTTACATATCTTTTTATATCTTTTATATCTTATCTTTTATATCTTTACTTTAATCTCTTATTTAATCTAATTCGATTATTATATAATAACTTAATTATAAATATATAATCTCGCTTCTTAATCTTATTATATCTTCTTTATCTATTATCTTTATTTTTTTATTTTCTTTGAATTACTTTATAAAAGCTTAATCTTTAAAAAAGAGAATTATTATTATAAAATAAAATTAATCTATAAATTAAATAATACTTAAACTCGTTCGATTTTAATTTATAATTAATTAAGTTCTAATTTATAATCGAGTTATAAATTAATAAAGTTTCTATTAAGCGATAATCTATATAATAATTATATTAATTTTTATTTAATCTTATATAAAGACGCTAAGCGCTTACTTCTTATTCTTCTTTCTTATTTTTTATCTTATATTTAAATCTAACTTTATTAAATTAAGTATATTAATTAATAGTTCTAGTTTAAATCTCGTCTCTTAATATTAATACTTAATATCGTTATCTTAATACTTAATTCTCTCTTAATTATTTTTATTATCTTTATAACGTTATAAATATCGTATTAAAAATTCTTTAAAATTAAAAATTCGTTTATTACTTAAATATTAAGATATGAGTTCTTTAATTAATATAATTTTACGTAATAGAGTCGCTAATATATTAATTTAAAGTTCTTTAATATAAATTAAAAGGTTAAATTAATCTTAATCTTAATCGTATTTTTAATTAAAATCGCTCGTTTAAATTAATAATTAATTAATCTATATAAATTATCTTTAACGTATTTAATAGCGACGATAACGTTCGTTTTTTAATTTATAATTAAAACTCTTTAATTATCGAAGTTAACGAAAAAGTAATATCTATTTAAAATTATAATAAATAATAAATTAATATCGATTCTAGAAATATAAAGTACGTCTTTTATTATCTAAATATCTCGTTCTAGATATATTTAAATTTCGTCTCTATCGCGTATTAATAGTCGATCTTAATTATTAAATTCTATTATTTTATTATAAGAAGTTATATTAATAAATAACTCTATTTAAGATATTATATATTTAATTACTTTTAAATTAATAAGTTATTCTTTAATTACTACGTCTTAAATCGTTCTATAAATAAGTATTTAATTATTTTATATTTCTAATCTTAACATATGTTTATAATTACGACTATTATAATATTCTTAAAAAAATATTATAAACTTTATTATTTAATTATTATAACGATAAATTTATTTTATTAATAAATTTATTACTTTCTTTAATATATTCGTAGAATCTCTAAAATTTAATAATTAATTTATCTTTTATATTAATCTCGTAAATACGTTAAAATTTATTTTATATAAATTTCGAGATTATAAAATAAATAATGTAATATTATTAAGTCTTTTTAATATTATTAACTAATAACGTAATTCTTTATTTATTTTCGAGTTAATAATAATTTAATAAAAGTTTTAAATATAATAGCTTAGATTCTTTATTTAATTATAAAACGCTTATAAAATTAAATCTAAATATAATAATTATAAGTTTTTAAAATATCGAGTTTAATATAATTAAGTTTAAGATGAAACTTATTTAATTTATTAAGATCTTTTTATAATAAGTTATTTATATTTAAAATAATAAATAGATTATTATATAACGATTTTAATTTAATTAATAAGAGAGATCTCTAGAAGTCTTATAATTATCTAAAATAAATAATATTATTCTCTTAATAGATATTTAATTATTTAATTATTTAAGATTATTTATAATACTATTTTAATCTTAATTAATTAAACTTATAATTTATTACTTAATAAATTAATATAATAAGAAAGACTATTATAAAATAAGCTTAAAGATAAAATTAAAATTATATAATTAAGAATTATATTAAATAACTATATAAGAAATATTAGTATATAAAAAGAATATAAGAATAAAAGTTATAAAGATAATTAGAGTTTAGTATTTATATACGCTAGAAAATTCTCTCTTTAAATTATCTAGAATATATTATTATTATATAAAAAATAGATTTATTTAAAGGGGCTATCTTAGTGTAACTGCGAGATTTAATACGGGGGATAAATTAAATAGTCGAAGACCGAATAAAGAGATTATTACTTAATTCCAACATAGTTCACTTACTCCCAACACGCCGGAGTTCAGCTCCTTATAAGGTGGTTCGCGGTGCCCCGCTCATTGCGCCCCTGAGAGATCTTCTCGGGTGTTACAGCTACCATCAACCTGCCGCGCGACTAGTAGACCTTTCTAAGCTCTCGATGGCTCGTGTCTTGAGCATCCCCGGCAAGCCGGCACGCACCCGCAACGCGGCGGAGTATCCCCACCAAATTGGAATTGGTTCAGTACTCGACCCCTGAGACCGGGTGAGCCTCTGACGGGCTTGATCGCCGATGCGCAGAGAACAGGGGCGCGTAAGCCGTCCTCGCCTGTTCTCTATATCTCAACCTCGTGCTAGCGATTGAGCTGCGCAAACCGTTGCGTTACCCCGAGGCACCTTGTCACTTCTGGGATATGCGCCCTTAGGCTGGCGCTTTCGAAATCTCTTCAAACGTACTTGATGTACGTTCTGGTTCTGATCTTCAAACGTACTTGATGTACGTTCTGGTTCTCATCTTCGTATTATTTATTTTCATGAGATAGTCTACTTACCTTACTTGATCTGCTGATTATAATTTAACCTTCCTTTAACTATATAGGATGAACGCAATCGTCTCTTAGCTTACCTAAAAGAAATACTAGATCCTGTGGAATAGAAACCATCGTTCGTGGTGTGTTGAAGGCTTGTATTATTTCTTGTTTCATGCTACGCTACATTTGAACAAAGCACATTTCAACTGCAAGAACCGACCCCCCCCCTCTTCTTCTTCTTCCCCCTCACACCCAAACTACCTCCCCACACCACTGCATCGCGCACAGCCCGTCGTGCAAACATTCGACCAAATACATCCCTCCCGGCAATCGACATTCCCACTTATCACCTTCATTGATCCCATGCGTTTCTGCCAATCCACTCTTGACCTGCTGCCTCAGCCGGTTGCTGTCAAGATATCGCTCAGACGAATTGGAGTTGGAGAAGCTGTCTGCCGCTACCATGGTCCATGAACTATCCGAGGGACCGACTGGGACTGGGACTGGGACTGGGATCGGGGCTGGGGCTGGGACTGGTGCTGGGAAGTGAGGCTGACCGTCGATTACAACGGTTGTTGAGAGTTGCTTGGGGAGGTTCGGCTGAAATGGATGTTTAATTCTGCGCTTGCGGGCTGGGGGAGTGGGGGATGAAGAGGCGCTGTCTTCTTGCGAGCGTTTACGCTTCTTCGTCAAGGGGCTGTTGGAGTTTTGATCAGGAAAGCTGGGGTCAATTAGCCTTATCCTGTCATCTGCACGACGGACACGTTGCATACCTTAAAGTTGTCTCAACATTTTCGCCTCCCTCCATTTCTTGAGCAGGCTTATTGACGGCGTCTAGCGCTTCTTGATGAGTGATAGGGTTAAAATTGAGTATCAAGTTGCTCATCCTGGGAGGAGGAAGATCCCATGGTACTGGAATACTGCGTCTGATGGTTATGTTTTCGTGTCTGTTAATGCTCGTTTTCAAACACATAGAAAGATGGAGGGGCAAGTCTACATATCATTGCGCAAATGGCGGAATTGAGAAAGGCGAGCGGTCTTCCGTCAGTGCTCCTGCGTCCGTCCGTTAGACTAGATACAGCTATCCAGTCTCTCCGCTGGCGGGAATGCGCCCCTCCGTCAGCGCAGATACATTCTTTGATCTTTCCGTCAGCGTAGATACGTCCTTCGGTCTTTTCGTCAGTGCAGATATGTCCTCGGATCTTTCCACCAGCGTGGTTACATTTCCCGCTCCGCGATGCTGCTACTATCTATATCTTCTGTGTTTGCTGAAAGACAGTATGCAGCTTCTCTCCACTAAATAGCGGATAGCTGCCGACGCGAATGCATCTCTCCGTCAGCGTGAATATATACCTTCATTAGCGCAGATACGTTTTCCGGTCCGTCCGCCAGCGGAGTTGCGTTCCCCGCTCCGCGATGCTGCTGTATCTTCTGTGCTAGTGTTGCTGAAAGACAGTCTGCATCTTCTCTCCGCCAAACATCGGAAAGACTGAGAGGCACAGCACACTTATGGCAGGATAGCCGAGATTGCGCGGTGTTCCCCCCCGTTTTTGCTCCTTATTCTTGTTCCTCTCGTCGCAAGAAAAGGTTTTTGGACTTTTCCCATCCACCCACGCCTTGTTTTTTTAGCGTTTCCTTGTATTTAGACTCCAGGTCTTCTACCTTATGTAGAGGGAGTTTTCCTACTAGGGCTGAGCTATATAGTGGATCGCTGTCTACGTGCTGCTGAGCCTTAGGACCTAGCCAATCATCGTTTAGAACTCATTTATACGTGTAGTTTTCGTGGGACGTCTAGCGAGACAGCACTAGTTGGCACTGAGAAAATCACACACACACCACCAAAAGTAGTACTGAATAGATGAATCTTCTCCCATATCGCATTCTACCACCTTCCTTATCATATTTGAAGCTCCTGTATATCTCGCGTAGCCGATCCTTGGTGTTTTGCCTTAGTGTTCGTTTCGAAATGCTGTAAGGGTGGAAGTACTCGGAGCGAACTGATAGGCTCGCTTGCGTCGCTTGCCAGGCTACGCAGCTAGGGCGAGTATCCAACATGCTTGGCAAAGTCTTAAATACTTGCGAGTCCCCTTTCCCCTTCTTCTTTCTTTAGTTATTAGTTCATCTAGCAACTGATCTATCTATTCTATCAACTACGCATCTAGACCTCGTGATTGCATAGCTGCTACGCAGTTCCATTGAAAGAGGCCTTGCTACCTCACAAATGCCTCCCAATCGACGCAGTCAGAGGCAGGGCTGGCAACGGTGGAAATAGTTGGTTTTGGAGGGCAAACTGCACTAACTACTAGATTTGGAAATCGAAACTGCACCAACTACCATATATTGAAAACCAACTGCTCCACTATCAGTGCACTGATAGTGGAGCAGTTGTAATAAAAGCTAAAATATCGCTCAGGGGGGGGGGCAATACCTATATCAAGTGTTAAGCCCTATCAGCCCTATCAGCCCTATTTCAGCCCTATAAATGTTGGCCTATTAGCTCTTTTAACTCAAAAAACCGACTTTTTAAAAAGATTATTATAAACTACTCCACTATCAGTTGAACCAGTTGGTTTTGCGGTCAGAACTGCACCAACTATCAACCGGTAGACCCCAAACTACACCATCAACTACGAGAAACTAACGGTTCCACTGGTAGTGGACCAGTTAGTTGGTCCACCATTGCCAGCCCTGGGCAGAGGTCCCCCCCCCCACTACCGACCTCCCCTCCGGCCAGACAGTCTAAGAGGCCTAAGGGCCCCTTCTGCAACCACATATTTTGGAAATAACCCCTACATATTTCCACTAAATAACGCCACCACTTGGCTAATGAAAACAAGGCTTGAAAATGACGCTAGAATATTTCCAAAACAAGTAGAATATGTGTACGGTTCCGTTCTGTAACCCTGTTTCATCGTCGCAAAAATTGTGTTCACCGTAAAAAACCATTGAATTCCTACCATTCCACATCACCATGGCTGAGATACCTGCTGCTACTGCTGCACAGGCTTTGACTATCATTGATACTCCTATTACTCCCATTATTACCCCAAATAAGCCTGCTCCCATAGAGTGTCTACCGATACCGGTGTCTTATTGCCTATGATTTGGAGCCAGACTATGGAGGTAATATTGTTCCTCGAAAGAGGCAGCAAGAATGATTTTTGGAACTACTTCTTCAAAGTGAGAGTTATTTATGCAAGAAAAAGAGAATAATATATGTATATCGGTCATAGATGTCCACTATTCTTGGCGTTCTTAGCCTTATTTTGGCTGAAAACAACCCTCGAGGGTTGTTTTCAGATATTTTCAAGCCTGTTTTCGCTTAATAAGCGAAAATATGTGGAAATATGGTTACAGAACGATACCCTATATATAATTGACGCTAAGCTAAAAATTAGTGGAAATATCTAGGGGTTATTTTCAAAATATGTGGTTGCAGAAGAGGCCCTAAGAAGGCGTCCTTCCGTACTTAAGCGATTACTAAGGATAGCCAGCCGGGCCCTAGCAACATCAGTTAAGGGAGTCTTCGGCGGCCGAGTAAAGCTTGCGAGGGGTATCTTTAGGGCGAAACTGTGGCTTATAGGCCGAGCTATATATAAAGAGATACCCTTGAATGTTATAGACCGTCTGCATGTAGTAGTAAACATTCTAGGCGATAGCATTAGTGTTAGGAACAGTCCCCACGGAGGCCCTATGGGGCCTCTGCGGGCAGGTATTTAGGTCCAAATAGGGGTGTCTGACTGTCAAGCGCAGACACCCCCGGAACCAGCTTTTTTAGCTGAGTTGCTAACAATTAGGTCTCCAGTGTAGGGGTAGCAAACGAACGATTCTGGACCGAATGGGCAAATTACCGATTCATATCTTAGAAGTATAGATTCTTATCGAATCATATCTCTAATTACTAAATCATACCCCTATATCAAATTTCACTTAAATATAGAATATGATTCGATAATTTGCTATTACTTAGGATATGATTTAAAAAATAATAGCTTCTTAATATGAGAGGATTTAATAAAGATAATAGTAGGGGTTTTCAGAGTAACTCGGCAAAACCGAACGATTTATGTGGATTTAGGTTTTTTGTGGATATATAAATTATAGATATATGAATTACTCTAAACACTCCACTATTAAAAAGGTCTAATATTCTTAGAAATTCGCTTTTGAAACCCTAGCCCTAAGTAGCTCGAGAAAGATGTCTTATCTTCTCCGCAATAGTAGTGTGTTATCCTTTCTACCTACCTTTCTATTTGTTAATAAATATCTAAATATACAGTTACTACTATAATGAGATCTATTATTATATATAATAGTCTTAATAACATCTAAGAAAGAAGAATATCTATATATAGAGAATGCCTTCATATATTCATAACTAGGCCGAATGAGTACTAGTGATAGCGAGTGTTGAGTTATCGATACTATTAGTACTCGTAAATAGTAAGGCCATATAGAAGTAACGTATATATAAGTAGATATGTAGATATATAATTGAGCATATTCAGACCGAGGCAGCTAAGACTTTTCTGGGCATTCAATAGCCCAGAAAAGCCCTTAGCGCTAGAAAAACTCCCATGTCTGAGCGACATGCTCTGAAGTGAGAATAAGGCTATATATAGGTGTGAGTGGGTGAGAGAATAATGATATGGCTCTGAAAGAGAATAATTCGAATGAAGAGCCTACTACTGATGCAGTAGCCATATAAATAATACTCGCCATATTCATCTATCTCCCGCCTATCGCATATCGCATAATGATATCGCATATCGCATAATGATGGGACGGCTGATTAAATAGTTACTAACGCTATGGCCTTATAATAAACCCACTAACCCACAGTCCTACTATTGCGACTTATCTTTTTATCTAGCTATCTATCTATTCTTAATAGCTATATCTTATATATTAAATAAAAAAAAAATAGAGACGTAAGATCTTTTATCTCTATGTTAAAAGCCGTTTTAGATATGATAATAGTTATCGTATAATAAAAAGATGGCGAGTATACCTCGAAGCCTTTATCGAAGAACGTTATATAAAGTCACGAGTACGTTAAGAGGTATTTACGATATTATTCTTTCTTAATAACATTACGAGATATCGGAGGTAATTTTAAAAGAATATAGATATATATAAGATAGTAGAAAGAATATAGATATATGAGAGGTAGAAAGTAGTATGTAGGCGTGTGGAAGGTAATAGGCCTACGAAATCTATTTAAAACGATCACGTGACTAGTGTATTATGCTATCCATTTTTTATATATTCATTTATTCATAAAAAAGGTACTCGAGGACATCTTTTTTATAGATCGGGTTTTCCGTGGATTTCTCGGATATAAAACCATTTGCCACTCGATTTTGATGGCGAATTATTCACGGTCCGAGGAATCCACGGAAACGGGAAGAAAAAAAGTTACTCTGAAAACACCTAGTAGCGGTAGGCTTATCGCGACTTAATTATTGATAACGATAGTATTTACGCGGCGTAACGGGGCGGGATTCGGGGCGAGGTTTAACCCCCGAAGCTTACCCCGCCCCGTTGCGCAGCGTAGTAGAAATTATTCCTTCGGGGGCCTTACGGGGCCCTACAGGGCCTACGGGACCCGAATAGGGGTGTCTGCAGCGTGAAGTGCGGACACCCCCGGGCACGAAATTTCGACCACTCGGCTAAGAGAATTCTCATCAAATGCGGTCGGAGAAACTCCCTTATTTCTATGATCGAATAAGCCAGATCGCGGATTATCTCCTTCGTAGTTTGAGGCCACTTTGACAACTTACCAAATCATACCCCAAGCAATGACAAATTACCGAATCATACCCCATATTTGAGTGAAATTTGGTATAGGGGTATGATTCGGTAATTAGGGGTATGATTCCGTAA